AAGCACTTTTAATCATTTTAAAAACACATCAAACGAGTCTTCAATTTAAGTAAGTTTGGATACATCTAACGTAAATTTAGACGACGGATCTTAACCTAAATTGAACTCAAGAGAAATATATTCTTGATCATCTTGCCAAAACCAAAATGGAGGGAGAAGAGAATAATTTTTTTTTTTTTTTACTCTTGACTTATTTTATTTTCAATAATCGATGGATATGAATCTCATAAATCGTGTTGAGGGAACAAAGAGTTGAGAATTGGATTAAATAACTCTCCCAATCACACTCTAGTATCTAATTGAATCCATATGAATTAGTAAACACATGAATCAAAAATCGAAATAATTTCAATAGATATGTGCATAGTTAGTAAATTCGAAGAAACGACAACAATCAGCAAAGGGTCTGGTGATTAGAAAAAAAAAACTCAAGAGTAAGGGGAAAACAGGACAAATCACAAGAAGTGATTGGTGCGTGAAAAAAAAAATTGAAGATGTGAAAATTGTGACCCAACAACGCTCTACATATGAGAAATGATGCAACCCAACATCATTTTTCCATATACGAAAATTAAAGAAAAAAATTGTAGAAATGAAGGAAGAAGATAAAGCAAACAAAGTGGCTGGCAGGTAGTGAGAGGAAGAGACAGTCAGCCATTCAAAGAGGTCCATGGATTTGAAATCCTAAGGAGTGAGGTAAGATTGTATTTGGTCTTGGTTATATATACTTTTTGCTCTCAAATCTCACAAAATTCATAATTTAATGAAATCCTACAAAATCTTTAGTTTTTTAAACACACCTAAATTTGGATGGATTAAAAATGATTATTAAAATCTCGATTGACTATACTTAGATTTTCATAGATTCTAAAAATCCTTCAAAATCCTCTCTAATCCGAGTTTGACTACACTTTCTTATATAGTTTAAAAGAATGAATTATTTTGTATAATTCATGTGGCACCACATTATTAGGTTTTTAATCCCATATATATGCCAGATCAGCAAACAACAAAGTTATCACAGAAACATAACAGAAGGATCACATTGGTGGTGGAAAGTCAAACATAGGGACTACATCTATTGATTTTTATTGCTATGGACCAAACTAAGAACTTATACCAGTTTGAGAGACCAATTTGGCTAAAAATGCATCTAAAATATTCAGCAAGTAAAGTCTCATCCAAATGTGTGCTCCAACATTTTAACCACGGGATTTCAACTCTTCAATTAGGGCATTCAAATCAGAATCTGATGATCCTCCTTTCTCAATAGCCCTCTTTGCCTGATCTGCAAGTTCCCAAGCTCTACTTCTCATTTCCTCTGCTTCCCCACCCACCATAATCCTCCTTACAGCTTTATCAACAGCTTTCTTCTTAACGAAATCCCCAACAAGACTAACCCATTTCTGAGCACCCACTCCAACACCTATTTTCAGCACTTGGGTCACCAGCTTCTCGTTGTAAAACTGCTCCGCCGACACCGGCCACGTCACCATCGGCAACCCAGCCGCAATGCCTTCCAACGTCGAGTTCCACCCACAGTGAGTTACAAACCCGCCAACAGCCCTATGATTAAGAATCAGAAGCTGCGGGGCCCACCCTCTTATTATTAGTCCTTTCCCTTCCATTTTATGCTCAAACCCTTCTGGCAGCCAATCCTCTTTCTCCATGTCATCATCTTTTCCTCTCCTCACTACCCAAATGAAGTCCTGCCCAGAAGCCTGAAGCCCCATTGCAATCTTCTTAAGCTGAGAGGCATTGAATTTAGCCATGCTTCCAAAACACACATAAACCACCGAATTGGGTTCTTTTGAACCAAGCCACTTCAAGCAATCGTGCTCGTTGATGGAAGATGCTTTTCCTCTAAATGCTTTTCTTCATTGCTTCTATTGCACAGAGAAACAGGGCCTATATGCCAAGCCTTCCTCCCCAAAACGTTTCTGTAATAATCTGCATAAACCGGTTCGAGCTCATAGAAACTGTTCACAACAATTCCATAGCTCGTCTGCTCAGATTCCTTGGCCCGTTTGAGCATCCGGGTCACGTCGTTTTCAATATTTTCCTTGTCAAAAGCAGGCACTTGGGCTCTTGTCATCGTAATCTCACCAGGAAAATTCGGAATCACAAAAGGTTCCAAATCGGACGAACTGTTCTTGAAAGGCTCATACTTGCTCATATTATATGAGGCAGCCAAGGCGAAGAAACTAGTGCCATGAAAAACCAACCTCGGAATATCAAACTTTGCAGCTGCATCAGTTGCCCATGGAAAACATATGTCAGCCAAAAGGAAACTAGGGTTTTGGTCGAGCAGAAGCTGCTCAAGCGGTTCTTGGAGCAAGCTTGTTGCTTTGAGGAAATTGGTGGATAATTCTGGTGAAGCGAGTGAGTCGAGAATCTCACAACCATCTGGACCGGCTTCTGAAGGGAACTTGATGGTTTTGATTTCGACTTTGACGCTGCCGGAATTGGTTTTGCTTGATTGAGTGGCTTTGTAGAATGTTGAAGCGTTGAGAGGAGTTGTGACTATGGTTGTCTTCACTCCTTGCGCTGCGAATAGCTTGGCCATATCTGAGATCGGTATCATGTGGCCGTGACTCATGAAAGGGAACAAGAAGACGTGGAACTCACGGTTTTGGCTACCCATGATTGGGATTTAGAAATGAAGATGGAGGAAGTAAAGTATTAGGGTGATGGTTTGCGTTTGTGATGCATGAATTGAGGGTCATATATAGAAGTCGACTAAGTAAACAAACTATGGAAGGCTTATCAACAATGTATGGTTATACACATATTACCTTCTAATACCATCTCTTTCATGGAGATGATGTTGAATATTTCAAGAATATATTCATATATTTGTTGGCTGAAAAGTTGGGTATTTGCCCAACCGTTGCTTCTCTTCGAGTTCGAGTGAAGCATTGCAACATATGACATACTATATTTTATATATATATATATATATATCGGTGCTGCATTGTGCAGCATGTGTGTACGAAAATGATGGTAGCAAAAGGTTGGATTTAATTCAACCTTGTATCTTTTGGTTGAACTACAACTTTGGTTAAAAGACAAGATGCTTACTCAAATTATATGAGTAAAATTAAAAGATGTAATAAGTCAAAATTATTTTCTGAAAATTTCTAAATAGAAAACATGTCTTTTGGGTCAACACTAATAAGAAAGGTTGTATATCTTCAACTAAAATGAAAGGACTCGATGAACGAGTGCTTTAATGCCTATAAATACCTATTGTGGCATAATGTTTCACACACGATTAATTCGGTTTTGCTAATTAAATATTTCATACTTTGTTGTATCCTAGAACTGATTTGCCAAGAACCCTTTAGTAAACTCATTTGAGTGGGGGTAAATAACACTTTAAGGAAACGATTTAAGTCGTACCTCAAAGTCATCATTCCGATTATTCTCTAAATTTCTACATTTACTCAAACAGATGAAACCCGCATGTGTTGTTGGGCTCCATCTCTATTAGAGAGATGTTACAATTGATTACAATTGATGGTACACTTAGATGGTAAGTGTAGCATTACTCGGTTACAAATCATCATCTATTGACCGGATATTGTCACGTCATTCTAACTAATTGATGCAGTCAGTAAACATGGAGACTATGAATTATGCCCTCACTCAATTATATAAATTATTTCACTTGAGTTACTGTTCTGAATCTCTTGTTATATCGTTTGGTCGGAAAAGAGTCGTGTTCCCAAAACAAGAAGCACAGGCCACATGTCCACAATAATTCTAGCGTTCAGAACCATAGTGTTTTACTTGCAAGCCTGAGTCTTTCACCTCATTTGGCACCATATTTTCGCCATTGACGATTCCATCACCGAAACTCCCGATAAGAGATCGACCCAAGTCGGTCGAGCTCAAGGCAATCTAGTGGCCTCGTCCTTGTCAGGCTCCAATGTGCATGTGTCAGTGTCACTTGCATTCACCAATGGGCAGTACGATGGCAGCAGCCTTGAGCTACAAGGCACCAGCCGCCAGTTTGAGAGGGTTAAAGAGGTCTCAGTGGTTTCAGGCACTGCATAATTCAGATATGCAAGGGGTTATGCTACCCTTGAGACAGTTTTTTATGATAATAAGACCTCCTACTCAGTCGTCCGGTGCACTATTAGGTTGCTTTTCAATAGTACTTAATAATTTTTATTTTTATTTTTTTTATAAAAAGGGGACTTAATAGTTAACCTCTGTTTTTTTTTTTCGGTTCATTTCTAAGAAATAATATGGACCTTTATGTTTTAACTTTCAGCCGAAGGAGAACTCAAATTATTCTTCTAGATTGAAATTCTCAATAGCCCTCTTTGCCTGCTCTGCAAGTTCCCAAGCTCTACTTCGCATTTCCTCTTCTTCCAAACCCACCATAATCTTCCTTACAGCTTTATCAACAGAGAAGGATTCTCTACCCTCCTATTCTCATCCCCTTCTGTGCCCTCCTCTCACACATTGTTTTTTATCTTATTATCTCTATAAAAAAAATTCAAAATAAGATGTTAACGTGGCTTAACCATGACCGTTCAAATAGGAGGGCATGAAAGGGTAGAGAGATTAGGAGGGTAGAGAATCCTCCTCCCTTCTCAACAGCTTTCTCCTTTCTCAATAGGTACTCTTTCTGAATTGGAATCCTTGATTTTTTATAGTAGTTGCTTCAATGTGGTTGAATTGAAGGCAAAACCTTAGCAGATAGTCATTTCCGTACTCATAATTCATACCTTACTTGAACCATGAACGTGCGATCAGAGCGTGACTAACAGCCTTGTGATGCTTGGAGTGGTCACATGGTTGTCCTACAGACCCCACCTTCCCAACTCTGTTTTTTTTGTGTGTAAAATTTCATATTCTTCATCAATTCTTTCTGCACTTGCTGCCTTTTGGTTAAAATACACATACCGTCCGATCACAGTCATTCTGATCGCCGTGTAGAAAAAAACTTCCAGTATATTTCTTTGATTTCTACATAAGATTATAAAGAATAAAATACAAAATTGTGAACAAATGGAACATATAAAACTAGAATTACATGATGCACAACAAACATTGCATGATAAAAACACATAAATAAATTACGTCTCAATCTTTAGAGGGCGGATGTAATCCGTCTTACTTGGGAGGGATTGAAAGAGTGCTTTCGAGCATAAACGAGAGATCATGCATCTCTGACATTATTCTCTCCACATCGTCAGATTTTGACCCTGCTCTTACGCTGGAAACATCTCCGCCCTCCACCACATCTTCAGATTTTTTGCCATCGTTAGTGCTTGCATCAGCCAACCTAAACACGCAACAGAAGAAGGAGTTAACATAGGTTCTTTAAAGAACGAGCACAAGCAGTTTCCATGAAGCTTCACGTATTACATTATTGAAAACGGCAAATTAGCATTCCACGGTGATTCGAAACAGGATTCTGCAGCTATAATAGCACCGATAAATGTTGGCTTATATAAGCACCTGTCTAATACAGAAGGCTCTAGGTGCACTCTATCCACTACAGTTGAACTGTTGGAACTGTTCAATGCTCCTGGTGAGAAATCTGGTTGCAAAAAGCTACCAAAATCCAAGTCACTGGAGCTGCTAGTGCCGAACAAATTTGTTTCTGAAGTATGGTCAACAGATGTCGTCTGATTAATACTTTGTTTTACAGAATTATCTGCAAGATTTGATGCATTCTTCGAGCTAGCAAAATCATTCCAAGCATCAAATGAATCACCATCCGCGTCAGTAGTCTTATTATCAAGAGCCTTGTTGCTAGTGGTCTGCAATTGGTTGTCTTGAACCCAATCCACACCACTTTTGTTTAACAGAACTATCCACAATATTTGGTGCATTACTCGAGCTTGCGAAATCATTCCAAGCATCAAACGAATCATCATTCTCCAAAGTAGTCTTACTATCAAGATCCTTGTTGCTAATGATCTGCAATTGGTTGTCTTGAACCCAATCGACGCCATCAGGAAAAGAGTTATTCACATTTTCAGCTATTCCACCCCTCACCTCAGCAAGGATTTCCAACCGTTCAGGCCCTCAAGAAACCCAGAGTTGGAAACGCCCAACAGATCATCTTGAAACCAGTTGGAGGACATGGATGCAGACCCAGTCACACTATGGTTTGATTTTTCATTCATTGAGTCCACTACAGATCCAAATACTGTGCCTATGTAGGCAGAAAGATCCACCGTGGAACCCACAAAGCGGTCAAGGGATTTTGATTCTTGGGGAAAGCTTTCAGAAGCTTGAGGGAGGTTTTCAGAAGCTCGAGGAAGGATTTCAGAAGCTTGAGGAAGGTTTCCAGAGGCCGGAGGAAGGGTTTCAGAAGCTTGAGGAAGGTTTCCAGAAGCTTGTGATTCAGAAGCAGCAAACTGAAAACTTGCCGCCCAACCAGAATCACCACTCTCTCCTTCAGTAGTCTGCACAACTGTCTCAAAAGGCTTTACATTCTCAAACAACCTAAGAGTTTCATGACCTTGGAAACGCTCTTTACCGACAATCTGTGTGCTAGACCTGAACAACTCTTCGGAATTACTCAAAGCACCACCTTTCTTTCCTTCTAAGAAAAAGTTGTCGAGATTGACTCCAGCCAAATCTGGTAATTTGAGCAGATTAGGGATCTCATTTGGGAGATCAGTCTCAATTTTCTCTGGCTTAGAGGTCCATTTTATTTCAAGATTTAAGAGATCAGCCAGACTTAACTCATCCTTCCGCGCAGTCTGTGTTCTGTTTAATTCATTTGCTCCAACAGGTAAATCCACTATCTCCTGCAAACCAAAGTCTAAAACTTTACCAAGTATTCAAGAAGCCCCACAAAATTAATTTCAAAGTCTCTACATTGATGAGGGGACAATAAACCTCATTTCTAGCAAACAAACAATAGGCAGACAAAACTATAATTTCCCCCTTAGATGATATGGTTGCTGAATAAAGGGACTACAAATCGGTAGCACCTACGAATTTCGAGTGTGATCTGCCTAATATCGAGTACTAAGTAGATGTTGATACACATCATATACTATGTACTATTTCAAAATCACCTTCAACCATTTTAATTTTCCATGCACTATAGATTAACATAAATAGCTTCGAATCAGATAAAGAATTTTCGACATCATTACGCTGTTGGGCGGCTAGAATAAGCTGGTAAAACAAATTTAGCAAACTAAAACAATCAAAGCTTCAATCTTTTTCATCATCCACAAGCAAGAAAGCATATAATTTGTTAAAGTGGTGATTTTTCTTGAATAAACGCATTGAGAATTCAAATTCCGTTTCTTTCAAGTTTTCCCATCAACCAAACACAACAAAAGGAATCCCCATTTTATTTCCCCATCTTAATCTCAATTTTCTCATCAACCAAACAAAAGATAGAAAATCAAGTCGCATACCGATCCACTTAAGCTCAGGTACTGGAGCAGCCAACGGTACCCAAAAGTATCCCGGAAATTGATGGGGTCGGGAGGGAGGTCCTTGCAGTGTTCTCTGCCGCAGAAGACGCAGGTCAGCGTCTGAACGCCCCTCAGCAGCCGCTCTTTGCAATGCCTGCACCTCAGGTACGGCGGGGATGGATCCAACTCTAAATTAAGACGGAAATATTTGAACCCAAAACACATTGAATTGAAAAAAAAAACCTAACTATTAAATACCTCCACTACCTGTTGAGAACTTTTAATCATACATCACGATGTCCACAACCATCTGGTGGGGGGAGTGAGTCGAGATTCTCACAACCATCTGGCAGACCGGCTTCTACAGAAGGGAACTTGATGGTTTTGATTTCGACTTTGACGCTGCCGGAATTGGTTTTGCTTGACTGAGTGGCTTTGGAGAATGTTGAAGCGTTGAGAGGAGTTGTGACTATGGTTGTCCTCGCTCCTTGCGCTGCGAATAGCTTGGCCATATCTGAGATCGGTATGTGGCCGCGACCCATGTAAGGGAACAAGAAGACGTGGAACTCAAGGTTTTGGCTACCCATGATTGGGATTTAGAAATGAAGATGGAGGAAGTAAAGTATTAGGGTAATGGTTTGCGTTTGTGATGCATGAATTGAAGGTCATATATAGAAGTCGACTAATTAAGTAAACAAACTATGGAAGGTTTATAAACAATGTATGGTTATAAATTAACATCTTACCATCTAATTTTACCATATCTTTAATAGAGCTGAAAGTCACGTGTGTTGTTGAGACCCATCTCTATTTGAGAGATGTTACAATGCATGGTACAATTAAATGATAAGTGTAGCATTACTTGGTTACAAATCATCATCTATTGACCAGATATTGTCACGTCATTCTAAAATTTTTTTTTTAAAAAGTACATTTTACATGTAATTAACATAGTGGTACATTTATAATTAAAGAAAAATGGGTACATTATAAATAAATTATGAGTATAATTGGTACAAATTAAATAGGGTTGCCAATTAAAAATCATACTAACTAAATGTAGAAATATATGATACAAAGTTTAAATGTAATGTTTCTAACACTAAAGGAATATATTTTAGAAATAAAATTTATAACTGAAATAATGACATTCATTAAAAGCTAGAGACATTAATAAAAAAATTAAAAAGAAATAAGGTTTTAATCAATGCAATAAAAGAAGATGGATGAGAACCTAATTTCTCCTTAAAAAAACTCAGAAAAATCTCAAAAGGGTAAGTGGAAAAAAGGGCAAATAACAAGAAGTGATTGCTGCGTGAAAAAAAATTGAAGATGTGAAAAATTGTGACCCAACAACACTACTACATATCCATAAATGATGCGACCCATCTAAGAAAATCGAAGAAAAAAATTGTAGAGATGAAGGAAGAAGATAAACCAAACAAAGTGGCTGGCAAACAGTGAGAGAAAGAGAGAGTTAGACATTCAAAGAGGTCCATAGATTTGAAATCCAAAGGTGTGAGGTAGGATTCTATTTGGCCTTGGTTATATATACTTCTTGCTCTCAAATCCTATAAAATACACAACTTAATAAAATCCTACAAAATCTTTAGTTTTTTAATACCCCTAGATTTGGATGGATTTTGAAAAATGACTATTAAAATCTCGATTGACTACACCTAGATTTTTATGGATTCTAAAAATCCTTTAGTTGACTACACTAGAATTTTAAAGTCTTTTAAAATCCTCTCAAATCCGAATTTGACTACACCCCCTTAAATAGATTAAAAGAATTAATTATTTTGTATAATTCATCGGCACCAGTTTATTAGGTTTATAGTTCCATATATATACCACATCAACAAACAAACGGAGTTATAACGGAATGATCACATTGGTGTGGACATTCAAAGATAGGGGGCTACATTTATTGATTTTCATTGCTATTAAACTAAGGACTTATAGCAATCTAAAGGACCATTTTGGCTAGGAAGCCTTCTAAAATATTCATCAAGTAAAGCCTCATCCAAATGTGCGTTCCAACATTTTAACCACGGGATTTCAACTCTTGGATTAGGGCATTCAAATCAGAATGTGATGATCCTCCCTTCTCAATAGCCCTCTTTGCCTGCTCTGCAAGTTCCCAAGCTCTACTTCTCATTTGCTTTGCTTCCTCACCCACCATAATCCTCCTTACGGCTTTATCAACAGCTTTCTTCTTAACAAAATCCCCAACAAGACTAACCCATTTCTGAGCACCCACTCCAACACCTATCTTCAGCACTTGGGTCACCAGCTTCTCGTTGTAAAACTGCTCCGCCGACACCGGCCACGTCACCATCGGCAACCCAGCCGCAATCCCTTCCAACGTCGAGTTCCACCCACAGTGAGTTACAAACCCGCCAACAGCCCTATGGTCAAGAATCAGAAGCTGCGGGGCCCACCCTCTTATTATTAGTCCTTTCCCTGCCATCCTATGCTCAAACCCTTCTGGCAGCCAATCCTCTTTCTCCATGTCATCATCTTGTCCTCTCCTCACTACCCAAATGAAGTCCTGCCCAGAAGCCTGAAGCCCCATTGCAATCTCCTTAAGCTGAGAGGCATTGAATTTAGCCATGCTTCCAAAACACACATAAACAACCGAATTGGGTTCTTTTGAATCAAGCCACTTCAAGCAATCGTGCTCGTTGATAGAAGATGCTTTTCCTCTAAGTGCTTTTTCTTCATTGCTTCTATTGCATAGAGAAACAGGGCCTATATGCCAAGCCTTCCTCCCCAAAACGTTTCTGTAATAATCTGCATAAACCGGTTCGAGCTCATAGAAACTGTTCACAACAATTCCATAGCTCGTCTGCTCAGATTCCTTGGCCCGTTTGAGCAACCGGGTCAAGTCGTTTTCAATATTTTCCTTGTCAAAAGCAGGCACTTGGGCTCTTGTCATCGTAATCTCACCAGGAAAATTCGGAATCACGAAAGGTTCCAAATCGGACGAACTGTTCTTAAAAGGCTCATACTTGCTCATATTATATGAGGCAGCCGAGGCGAAGAAACTAGTGCCATGAAAAACCAACCTCGGAATATCAAACTTTGCAGCTGCATCAGTTGCCCAAGGAAAACATATGTCTGCCAAAAGGAAACTAGGTTTTTCGTCGAGCAGAAGCTGCTCGAGCGGTTCTTGGAGCAAGCTTGTTGCTTTGAGGAAATTGGTGGATAATTCTGGTGAGGGGAGTGAGTTGAGATACTCACAACCATCTGGTAGACCGGCTTCTACAGAAGGGAACTTGATGGTTTTGATTTCGACTTTGACGTTGCCGGAATTGATTTCGCTTGACTGAGTGGCTTTGGAGAATGTTGAAGCGTTGAGAGGAGTTGTAACTATGGTTGTCCTCACTCCTTGCGCTGCGAATAGCTTGGCCATATCTAAGATCGGTACAATGTGGCCGTGAGCCATGTAAGGGAACAAGAAGACGTGGAACTCACGGTTTCGGCTACCCATGATTGGGATTTAGAAATGAAGATGGAGGAAGTAAAGTATTTGGGTAATGGTTTGCGTTTGTGATGCATGAATTAAAGGTTATATATAGAACTATAGAAGTCGACTAAGTAAACAAACTATGGAAGGTTTATAAACAATGTATGGTTATAAACAATGTATGGTTATAACCGGAACAGCCTCTATATAGTCATTTCCATACTCACAATTCACAACCGTACTTGAACAGGATCTGTTCTATCGGTTGTACCTCTGTATCCTTGATTTCTATGGAGACAGGAACCTCAATCTGGTGGATGAACCATGACCGTGCGATCAGAGCGTGATTAACGACCCTGTGATCCTTGGATCATTCAAAGCAATGGCGAAACCAGGAATTGGCGAGGGGAGGGACGGATTTAAAAGGGTGCAAGGTTAAAAATTTATGAAGACAACCAAATCATTTTAGATAGTAGAAAATATTAATAACGTTAATAATTAATCAATATTAATTACGAACTGTGACACTATGACAAACTTAGTGAAAACAAATTCAAATTCCTGTACTCTATGACGAATTTAATAATCGAGTACATACACGTGGTTTGGTCGACTGTACATATGTAATGGGTGCATAGGTACGTCGAATGTGTAAAAGTGTAACCATATTGATAATGCGCAATTGTTTAAAATTGAGACACATAGTAGGTTGAAAACAAAAAAGACCTTATCTACCAAAGCGTAAACTAATATTTAACTAGCTAGCATACATAAAGAAAAAAAGATTGCATGCACTAATTAATAATTAATTAACCCTTCTTATTCTCTTTGGATGTATCAGTTTCAACAAAGGAGAAGATGAGAACAACAGAGCCAAACAGAAGACCTTGAAAAATCAAAGCCTTGAAACCTTTCATAATTCTCTAACTCTTGTGCTAATTGTCAGTTCCAATTCTAAAATGCTAGCATTCATGCATAAGAGTTAGAGAATCATAAAAAAAAATTAGAATTAAATCAGTTCCGACTCAAAAGAAAAAATCAAAGCCTTGAAATGAGCTCCTATTCCATATCGAAATTATTAGGAAAGTTCTGGCCTTGGAATCTTTAAAAAATCCCACGAGAAAGAAGACTAGAAGGATGTTAATTGTTAATGATAAGCATAAACACAGCACTAGGCTCTGTTGCAGAGCACCAAAACCTAGAGAACCAGATGAAATTGCTCACTTCCGACAGGACTAGAGGGGCAGAATTACTCAAAAAAAAAAAAAATCTATACACACACACACAACATTCAAATGATACATCTTATAAAAAATATCAAATGAAACACTATTGTTTCCTCTAAAAAAAGGTTACATGGTAGTACTATAAACAAATACAGATTCAAAGATAACTCTACCAAAACTAATATCTAATCAAGTCTCAATCTTTTACTTCTGAGCATCCAAATGTGCAAATGAAAAACAAGCATCTTCCATCCTGTAGATATATCAAATCTTGCATCTGTGAATGACTACTATGTCGCCCTTGTTATCATCATCTGCAATAAGAATGGAAAACTAATTTTTCTATAAAACTGTTTCCAATTAGAAAATTTCAGTAAAAATATTAACCAATTTTAAGAAAACAAATCACACAAAAACAACACTCATAAACCCTATAAATGAAAATCAATGGATGGTATGACACACCCCGACCCGGAATGTCCATCTGAACTTCAAATCAAGCTGTGTTGGCCGATACTAAGAAGGTGACGAAACCATAAAATGTGATGATGTGAAAAATGTGAATAAATTTAAACCTAAAAGTGACTAAATGCAAAAGTGCGCATGTGAGTGAGATTGAACCCATTTCACACGTGATGTCAGAGTATAAGTAAATGTACTACCTAGAAATATGTGCATAGTGATAAAGAGTGATAAGGACTCAAACATCCACGTAGGATTTCCACCTGTTAGGTGCATTTTCGTAATTTTTCAAGATTTGGGAATAAAATATATTAATTTTGGTACGGGATGTCAAATGGTAGATAGAGTTACCATAGATACATGACATGAGTCTTGAATCTCTTCAAAACTATATTTGTTTGGGTATACCAAATGATTGGTTTCATATGAAAGTAGGAACCAGATGTGGGTTCTTCAAATGTTCTCACATGTTGTCGAGATGGTAGCTAACGACGGTAGTGAATCATTCTGGCAGTAGATGGTCGTTCTCAGCATTATCATCATCGTTTATAAATTTTGTTTTTGTTTTTTCAACAGTTTTTATCACAGATGTTCTAAAATTGATAACATATTGTTGGACTCATAGGCCCTACATGTGTGTCTAGTCAGTACATCAGCATAACATTTGACGAAATCTATGAATGTCAATTTTTGAGACGGCATTGACTAATTTTGAAATTAAAAGATCAAATGAAGACTTTGGACAATTTCAGAAATCATTAGTTAAAAATAAAATTAAAAAAAAATAAAAATATTTCAAAGTTATCGGCTTGCCAGAATTAAGGAATTTTTTATTTTTGTCAAAAGCCACAATTAAGGATTAACAAATCACACATGTCTCTTTGTCATTTATGTTAGGTAAAAGATACATACCTGCTGTTGTACTTTAAAACTCAACACAAGGCGTCAAATTACACTTACTAAATCAAAACTTGTCATTTATGTTAGGGAGTTGTTTTGCCTCTCCCAAAAAATCATTATGCGGCTCTCTGTAGTGTTATGTTTTTCATAAACTTCTTTATGAAAGGAGTGCAGTTTGATTATTTTGGAGTGACAATAACACTGTAAAAACTTGTTTGGAAGTGATTTTAAGATGACTGAAAGTGTTTCTGATGAAAATATTTTGAAACCAATCCTTAGTAAAATCCTAAGTGGATACTGGAAAGGTACTTGAAGTGATTTTTGCAAAAAACACATACTAGTGCTTCTTCCATAAAGCACTTCAAGTTTTTTTGGAACTCAAAATCAATTTCATCATAAACGCATTTAGTCATTTTAAAAGCAATTCAAACGAGCTAAATTTAAGTAAGTTTGGATACATTTAATGTAAGTTTAGATGACAGATCTTAACGTAAACTAAACAGAAGAGAAATATACTTTGAATCATCTTGCCAAAACCAAAATGGAGGGAGAAGAGAATAAAATGTTTTTTTTTTATTCTTGACTTATTTTATTTTCACGACTTGACGGATATGAATCTCATAAATCGGATTAGGGAAGAAAGAATTGAGAATTGGATTAAATAACTCTCCTAATCACATTCACATGCATAGTTATTAAATTCGTGTATAATATACGTACATAGTTAGTAAATTCAGGTATAATACACGTGCAAAAACAACAACGGTCATCAAAGGGGAGGAGGATTTTCTCCTCCTTTTTTCCCATACACTTTCATCCTCTTCCTGTTTGTGTGGTCACGGTTAAGCCATGTCAACATTTTACATTGATTTTTTTAAGACAAAAACACGTGGTTTAACCGTAACAAAAACACGTGGTTTAACCGTGACTACACAAACAGGGAAAGAATGGAAGTGTATGGGAAAAAAAGGAGGAGAGAATCCTCCTCCCATCAAAGGGCCCCTGTGATTAGAAAAAACTCGGAAAATCTCAAAAGGGTAAGTGGAAAAAAGGACAAAGAACAAGAAGCGATTGCTGCGTGGAAATAAAAAATGAAGATGTGAAAATTGTGACCCAACAGCACTACTACGTATGAGAAATTATGCAACCCAACATCATTTCTATCCATAAATGATGCGACCCATCAACGAAAATTGAAGGAAAAATTTTAGAGATGAAGGAAGAATATAAAACAAAGAAAGTGGTCAGCGGGCAGTAAGAGGATGAGAGAGTCAGACATTCAAAGAGGTTCATGAATTTGAAATTTCCAGGTGTGAGATAGGATTCTATTTGGTTTTGGTTATATACATTTTTCACTCTTAAATTTTACAAAATCCACAATTTAATGGAATCCTACAAAATCTTTAGCTTTTCAATACACCTACATTTTTATGGACTTTAAAAATGATTATTGAAATCTCGACTGACTACACCTAGATGTTCATTGATTCTAAAAATGGAACTTTAACGAAAACCATCCGGTATTGTTTAGTTTAACAAAAAACCACATTTTTACATTAAAAAGTCAATACTGGTACTATTTATTTTACCTTTTATTTTGTCTTTATAGTTAAAACTCAAAGTTTTAAAGTCATTTTCATTAGTTTTCACTTTTAAAAATCCTTTAGTTGACTACACTAGAATTGTAAAGTCTATTAAAATTCTCTCAAATTCGAGTTTGACTACACCTCCTTAAATAGTTTAAAAGAATTAATTATTTTGTATAATTCATGTGGCACTGCTTTATTAGATTTATAGTCCCATGTATATGCCAGATTAGCAAACAAACAGAGTTATAATGGAAACATAACAGAAGGATCACATTGGTGGTGGAAATTCAAACGTAAGGACTACATTTATTGATTTTCATTGCTATGGACAAAATTAAAGACTTGTACTAATCTGAGGGACCATTTCGATTAAAAAGGCATCTGAAATATTCATCAAGTAAAGCCTCATCCAAATGTGTGCTCCAACATTTTAATCACGAGATTTCAACACTTTCAATTAGGGCATTCAAATCAGAATATGATGATCCTCCTTTCTCAGTAGCCCTCTTTGCCTGCTCTGCAAGTTCTCAAGCTCTACTTCTCATTTCCTCTGCTTCCAAACCCACCATAATCTTCCTTACAGCTTTATCAACAGCTTTCTCCTTTCTCAATAGGTATACTCTTTCTGAATTGGAATCCTTGATTTTTATATGGTAGTTGCTTCAATGTGGTTGAATTGAAGGCAAAACCTTGGCAGATAGTTGTGACTTGTGAGCAGCAAAAATATACAAAGCACAACAACATCATTCCCACATCGTCATTTCCGTACTCACAATTCATACCTTACTTGAACCGTGACCGTGCGAACAGAGCGTCACTTACAGCCCTGTGATGCTTGGAGTGGTCACACGGTTGTCCTACAGACCCCGCCTTCCCAACTCTTTCTTTTTTTGTGTGTAAAATTTCATATTCTTCTTCAATTCTTTCTGCACTTGCTGCCTTTTGGTTAAAATACACATACTGTCCGATCACAGGCATTCCGATCGCCGTGTAGAAAAAACTTCCAGTATATTTCTTTGATTTCTACATAAGATTATAAAGAATAAAATACAAAATTGCGAACAAATGGAACATATAAAACTAGAATTACATGATGCACAACAAACATTGCATGATAAAAACACAAATAAATTACGTCTCAATCTTTAGAGGGCGGATGTAATCTGTCTTGCTTGGGACGGATTGAAAGAGTGCTTTCGAGCATAAACGAGAGATCATGCATCTGTGACATTATTCTCTCCACATCGTCAGATTTTGACCCTGCTCTTACACTGGAAACATCTCCGCCCTGCGCCAGACCTTCAGATTTTTTTCCATCGTTAGTGCACGCATCAGCCAACCTAAACACGCAACAGAAAAAGGAGTTAACATAGGTTCTTTAAAGAATGAGCACAAGCATTTTCCATGAAGCTTCACGTATTAGATTACTGGAAACGGCAAATATGGCATTCCACGGTGATTCGAAACAGGATTCTGCAGCTATAATAGCACCAATAAAAGTTGGCTTATACACGCACCTGTCTAATACAGAAGGCTCTGGCTGCACTCTATCCACTACAGTTGAACTGTTGGAATTGTTAAATGCTCCTGCTGAGGAATCTGGTTGCAAAAAGCTACCAGAATCCAAGTCACTGGAGTTGCTAGTGCCAACAACAACAACAACAACAAAGCCTTTTCCCACTAAGTGGGGTCGGCTATATGAATCCTGGAACGCCATTGCGCTCGGTTTTGTGTCATGTCCTCCGTTAGATCCAAGTACTCTAAGTCTTTTCTTAGAGTCTCTTCCAAAGTTGTCCTAGGTCTTCCTCTACCCCTTCGGCCCTGAACCTCTGTCCCGTAGTCACATCTTCGAACCGGAGCGTCAGTCGGCCTTCTTTGCACATGTCCAAATCACCGGAGCCGATTTTCTCTCATATTTCCTACAATTTCGGCTACTCCTACTTTACCTCGGATATCCTCATTCCCAATCTTATCCTTTCTCGTGTGCCCACACATCCCACGAAGCATCCTCATCTCCGCTACACCCATTTTGTGTACGTGTTGATGCTTCACCGCCCAACATTCTGTGCCATACAACATCGCTGGCCTTATTGCCGTCCTATAAAATTTTCCCTTGAGCTTCAGTGGCCTACGACGGTCACACAACACGCCGGATGCACTCTTTCCATCCAGCTCGTATTCTATGGTTGAGATCTCCATCTAATTCTCCGTTCTCTCTTGCAAGATAGATCCTAGGTAGCGAAAACGGTCGCTTTTTGTGATCTTCGCTAGATTGCTCCGGTCATTAGTGTGGATAAGTATATAAATGGATAGAGATAGGAAAGCAAACACAAGATGTACGTGGTTCACCCAGATTGGCTACGTCCACGGAATAGAAGAGTTCTCATTAATTGTGAAGGGTTTACACAAGTACATAGGTTCAAGCTCTCCTTTAGTGAGTACAAGTGAATGATTTAGTACAAATGACATTAGGAAATATTGTGGGAGAATGATCTCGTAATCACGAAACTTCTAAGTATCGGAGTGTGGTGTCGTCTTGACTTGCCTTATCTGTCTCATAGGTAGATGTGGCATCTTCTCTGGAAGTACTCTTCCTCCATCCAGGGGTGGTATCTTTAACTGGTGGAGATGCACAAGGTAATGTATCAATTTCACTTGAAGCTTACTTGTAGTTTCAGGCTTGGTCAAGCGCGATACAAACCATGTAGTAGGAGTCCCCCAAGTCGCCGAGCTAGGGGGTCTGCTGAAAGAGGTGACAGACAAGGTAAGCAATCAGAGCTCCGACTGATTGTTCACCTTCTCCCCATCTTGCAGCAGCATGAAGGATAAAGAGAAGAAAAATGAGAAGAGATGATATGAGATACTTTTGCTTTTGAAGAAGTAACTTTCCACAGGCTTATTCTTGAACTGAGCTGGAGGGTTTTCTGGTTTCCTCCAGAGTATAAGGCCGACTGAAGAATTTGAGGGTCAAAACAAGTCCATCAAATCTAGAGTACGTTCCACCCTGCTGATATGGGATACTTTTGCTTTTGACAGAGTAATGGAATGTATCGGCACGTGTGCTGTTACGCTTGTCTCCACATGCTTCCTTGTATCCTTCGCACTTGCCCTATCTGTTCCTCAAGCAGATGCGGAATCTTCCCTGGAAACATAAGATGTTGAAGATGAGTACTCGAGAGCAATGCCAGGTAAGTAATCAGGTAAGGGGTTCCAGGCAGTCAGTTCCTGGCTGGAAGCTTGATTCCAAGTGCTGACTGATTGCTCTCTTTCTCCTTGTCTTGCAGGTAAAAAACAAGGCCAAAGGAAAAGACAGGGAAAAAGCATGATATGGGATACTCTTGCTTTTAACCCTGATGATATGAGATATTCTTGCTCTAGTATAGCTTGTTTGCAGAGGTATTATCGGGGGGAAAGAAAGCTGAATATTTCGAAAGGCTTCGTTGGGAGTGCCCTCTCAGATATGATGAAGGGTTGAGCATTTTTGCAGGTCTGCCTGTCCGTTGGGGATGGAGGTCGACATATATAGGAGTCTCCCTAACAACAAGTAGTAATGCTATTCCTTTACCCTGCTTGGTCATAGCACGGTAGTGGGAGCTGCCAGTTTCACATGTTTTAACTCTGTCAGAGCACTTTGAAAAAGTGGTCTGTGGTATCTGGCTCTCGAGATTCGGAGAACGATGCCTCTTCGATTTTTGAGAAAGCAATCATGCTGGGGGTCTGGACTCTCGAGATTCGGAGAGCAGTGTCTCTTCGATTTTTGAGGAAGTAATCATGTTGGGAGTCTGGCTCTCGAGATTCGGAGGGCGGTGCCTCTTCGATTTTGGAGCAAGCAATCTTGTTGGGAGTGTTGTCTCGAATGTGAGTAAAGGTTGGGCATGTTTGCTAGTCTACCTTGCCACGAAGCACAAAGGTTGACACACAGGGACTTTCCAATTATCCAGCAATGGTACTGTTCCTTTACCCTCTCTTCGATTTTGAGAAAGTAGTCATGTTGGGAGTCTGGCTCTCGAGATTCGGAGGACGGTGCCTCTTCGATTTTGGAGCAAGCAATCTTGTTGGGAGTGTTTTCTCGAATGTGAGTAAAGGTTGGGCATGTTTGCTAGTCTACCTTGCCACGAAGCACAGAGGTTGACACACAGGGACTTTCCAATTATCCAGCAGTGGTACTGTTCCTTTACCCTTGTGGGTAATAATATGGTAGCTAGACCTTCAAAATTTATGTGTCTAAACTTTTGTTAGTGCTGTTTCTTTGCTATTCTTTTACCTTTCTTGGTCAGAGCGATGTAGTGGGAGCTGCAAGCTTCACGTGCTCAACTTTGGCAGAGAACTTTGGCAAAGTTATCTGTGGTACCCATGAGCTATTGTTGCGTGTGGGAAGTGGGTGATTGAACAGTAAGATTCATGTGCTTTCTACTTCACCAGAAGTCTTCGACAGAATGCCCATAATTTCTGCAAAGCTGAGTGTGCGTGTGACAGGTGCTGACAAGGCTAGAAAAGTAGGTGCCTCTTCGATTTCTGAGATCGGCCCTCGTGGTCTCTGAGCAGCCCAGCTTTTGAGAAAGCGAGCGCCTCTTCGATTGATTCGGAGAACGATGCCTCATCGATTTTTGAGAAAGCAATCATGCTGGGGGTCTGGCTCTCGAGATTCGGGGAGCAGTGTCTCTTCGATTTTTGAGAAAGTAATCATGTTGGGAGTCTGGCTCTCGAGATTCGGAGGGCGGTGCCTCTTCGATTTTGGAGCAAGCAATCTTGTTGGGAGTGTTTTCTCGAATGTGAGTAAAGGTTGGGCATGTTTGCTAGTCTACCTTGCCACGAAGCACAGAGGTTGACACACAGGGACTTTCCAATTATCCAGCAATGGTACTGTTCCTTTACCCTCTCTTCGATTTTTAAGAAAGTAGTCATGTTGGGAGTCTGGCTCTCGAGATTCGGAGGACGGTGCCTCTTCGATTTTGGAGCAAGCAATCTTATTGGGAGTGTTTTCTCGAATGTGAGTAAAGGTTGGGCATGTTTGCTAGTCTACCTTGCCACGAAGCACAGAGGTTGACACACAGGGACTTTCCAATTATCCAGCAGTGGTACTGTTCCTTTACCCTTGTGGGTAATAATATGGTAGCTAGACCTTCAAAATTTATGGGTCTAAACTTTGTTAGTGCTGTTTCTTTGCTATTCTTTTACCCTTCTTGGTCAGAGCGATGTAGTGGGAGCTGCAAGCTTCACGTGCTCAACTTTGGCAGAGAACTTTGGCAAAGTTATCTGTGGTACCCATGAGCTATTGTTGCGTGTGGGAAGTGGGTGATTGAACAGTAAGATTCATGTGTTTTCTACTTCCCCAGAAGTCTTTCGACAGAATGCCCATAATTTCCGCAAAAGCTGAGTGTGCGTGTGACAGGTGCTGACAAGGCTGGAAAAGGCTGGAAAAGTAGGTGCCTCTTCGATTTCTGAGATCGGCCCTCGTGGTCTCTGGGGAGCCCAGCTTTTGAGAAAGCGAGCGCCTCTTCGATTTCTGAGATCGGCCTTCGTGGTCTTTGAGCAGCCCAACTTTTGAGAAAGCAAACGCCTCTTCGATTTCTGAGATCAACCCTCGTGATCTCTAAGCAGCCCAGCTTTTGAGAAAGCAAACGCCTCTTCGATTTCTGAGCAGGCGCCTCTTCGATTTCTGAAGCTTCGTCGAGTGCAGATTTTTATAGGGGCTGGCATTAAGTTCCAAAGCACACTTGAATCTCCACCAGTAGAAGCTTCATTCTTGCACTTCTAAGATCTTGATTTGTCCGACCTCTTCTCTCTTCAACACCTTTGAAAATGTCTGGCCCCTCCGACCGTCGTTTTGACTTGAACCTTGTTGAAGAGGCAGCCCCGCCTTCTCCAGACAACATATGGCGCCCATCCTTCGTCTCCCCTACTGGTCCTCTTACCGTTGGGGATTCCGTGATGAAGAATGATATGACCGCTGCGGTGGTGGCCAGGAACCTTCTCACTCCCAAAGATAACAGACTACTTTCCAAACGGTCTGATGAGTTAGCTGTTAAGGATTCGCTGGCTCTCAGTGTTCAGTGTGCAGGTTCTGTGTCTAATATGGCCCAACGCCTATTTGCTCGAACCCGCCAAGTTGAATCATTGGCGGCTGAAGTGATGAGTCTCAAACAGGAGATTAGAGGGCTCAAGCATGAGAATAAACAGTTGCACCGGCTCGCACATGACTATGCTACAAACATGAAGAGGAAGCTTGACCAGATGAAGGAAACTGATGGTCAGGTTTTACTTGATCATCAGAGATTTGTGGGTTTGTTCCAAAGGCATTTATTGCCTTCGTCTTCTGGGGCTGTACCGCGTAATGAAGCTCCAAATGATCAACCTCTGATGCCTCCTCCTTCTAGGGTTCTGTCCAGTACTGAGGCTCCAAATGATCCCCCTCCGGTGCCTTCTCTTTCTGGGGCTCTACCGACTGCTGAGACTTCTCCTAAGCAACCTTTGTGAAGGCTCCCTCTTGTGTGTTTATTTTGACTCATGTATATGTACATATTTGTAGCTTATCGGGGATATCAATAAATAAGCTTTCCTTCATTTCAACGTATTGTGTTAAATACACCAAAGCCTTCTTCGCTAAGTTCTTTGAATTTTCTTTTGTTGAAGCTTGTATGTTGAAGCTTTCTGAGTGGAGCATGTAGGTTGGGGTAGTGTTCCCTTAATTTCCCGAGTGAGGAAAACTTCTCGGTTGGAGACTTGGAAAATCCAAGTCACTGAGTGGGATCGGCTATATGAATCTTAGAACGCCATTGTGCTCGATCCTGTGTCATGTCCTTCGTTAGATCCAAGTACTCTAAGTCTTTTCTTAGAGTCTCTTCCAAAGTTTTCCTAGGTCTTCCTCTACCCCTTCGGCCCTGAACCTCTGTCCCATAGTCGCATCTTCTAATCGGAGCGTCAGTAGGCCTTCTTTGCACATGTCCAAACCACCGTAACCGATTTTCTCTCATCTTTCCTTCAATTTCGGCTACTCCTACTTTAACCCCGGATATCCTCATTCCTAATCTTATCCTTTCTCGTGTGCCCACACATCCAACGAAGCATCCTCATCTCCGCTACACCCATTTTGTGTACGTGTTGATGTTTCACCGCCCAACATTCTGTGCCATACAGCATCGCCGGCCTTATTGCCGTCCTATAAAATTTTCCCTTGAGCTTCAGTGGCATACGGCGGTCACACAACACGCCGGATGCACTCTTCCACTTCATCCATCCAGCTTGTATTCTATGGTTGAGATCTCCATCTAATTCTCCGTTCTTTTGCAAGATAGATCCTAGGTAACGAAAACGGTCGCTCTTTGGTATTTCTTGATCTCCGATCCTCACCCCTAACTCGTTTTGGCCTCCATTTGCACTGAACTTGCACTCCATATATTCTGTCTTTGATCGGCTTAGGCGAAGACCTTTAGATTCCAACACTTCTCTCCAAAGGTTAAGCTTTGCATTTACCCCTTCCTGAGTTTCATCTATCAACACTATATCGTCTGCGAAAAGCATACACCAAGGAATATCATCTTGAATATGTCCTGTTAACTCATCCATTACCAACGCAAAAAGGTAAGGACTTAAGGATGAGCCTTGATGTAATCCTACAGTTATGGGAAAGCTTTCGGTTTGTCCTTCATGAGTTCTTACGGCAGTCTTTGCTCCTTCATACATATCCTTTATAGCTTGGATATATGCTACTCGTACTCCTTTCTTCTCTAAAATCCTCCAAAGAATGTCTCTTGGGACCCTATCATACGCTTTTTCCAAATCTATAAAGACCATGTGTAAATCCTTTTTTCCCATCTCTATATCTTTCCATCAATCTTCGTAAGAGATAGATTGCCTCCATGGTTGAGCGCCCTGGCATGAACCCGAATTGGTTGTCCGAAACCCGTGTCTCTTGCCTCAATCTATGCTCAATGACTCTCTCCCAGAGCTTCATTGTATGACTCATTAGCTTAATACCCCTATAGTTCATGCAATTTTGTACGTCGCCCTTATTCTTGTAGATAGGCACCAAAGTGCTCATTCGCCACTCATTTGGCATCTTCTTCGTTTTCAAAATCCTATTGAAAAGGTCAGTGAGCCATGTTATACCTGTCTCTCCCAAAAGTTTCCACACTTCGATTGGTATATCGTCTGGGCCTATTGCTTTTTTATGCTTCATCTTCTTCAAAGCTACAACCACTTCTTCCTTCCGGATTCGACGATAAAAAGAGTAGTTTCTACACTCTTCTGAGTTACTCAACTCCCCTAAAGAAGCACTCATTTCATGTCCTTCATTGAAAAGATTATGAAAATAACCTCTCCATCTGTCTTTAACCGCGTTCTCTGTAGCAAGAACCTTTCCATCCTCATCCTTGATGCACCTCACTTGGTTTAGGTCCCTTGTCTTCTTTTCCCTTGCTCTAGATAGTTTATAGATATCCAACTCTCCTTCTTTGGTATCTAGTCGTTTATACATATCGTCGTAAGCCGCTAACTTAGCTTCTCTGACAGCTTTCTTCGCCTCTTGCTTCGCTTTTCTATACCTTTCACCATTTTCATCGGTCCTCTCCTTGTATAAGGCTTTACAACATTCCTTCTTAGCCTTCACCTTTGTTTGTACCTCCTCATTCCACCACCAAGATTCCTTTTGGTGTGGGGCAAAGCCCTTGGACTCTCCTAATACCTCTTTTGCTACTTTTCGGATACAACTAGCCATGGAATCCCACATTTGGCTAGCTTCCCCCTCTCTATCCCACACACATTGGGTGATTACCTTCTCTTTGAAAATGGCTTGTTTTTCTTCTTTTAGATTCCACCATCTAGTCCTTGGGCACTTCCAAGTCTTGTTCTTTTGTCTTACTCTTTTGATATGTACATCCATCACCAACAAGCGATGTTGATTAGCCACGCTCTCTCCTGGTATAACTTTGCAATCCTTACAAGTTATACGATCCCCTTTCCTCATTAGAAGAAAATCTATTTGTGTTTTTGACGACCCACTCTTGTAGGTGATCACATGTTCTTCTCTCTTCTTAAAGAAGGTGTTGGCTAAGAAGAGATCATATGCCATTGCAAAATCCAAGATAGCTTCCCCATCCTCGTTTCTCTCCCCAAAACCATGGCCACCATGAAAACCTCCATAGTTGCCTGTCTCCCTGCCCACGTGTCCATTTAAATCTCCTCCTATAAATAACTTCTCCGTCTGAGCAATTCCTTGCACCAAGTCTCCAAGATCTTCCCAAAATTTCTCCTTCGAACTCGTATCCAACCCTACTTGAGGTGCGTACGCACTAATCACATTGATAAGTTCTTGTCCTATTACAATCTTGATTGCCATGATTCTATCTCCTACCCTCTTGACATCTACAACATCTTGTACCAAGGTCTTGTCCACGATGATGCCAACACCGTTTCTCGTTCTATTTGTGCCCGAATACCAAAGTTTAAACCCTGAGTTTTCTAGATCCTTTGCCTTACTACCAACCCACTTAGTTTCTTGTAGGCACATAATATTTATCCTTCTCCTCACCATAACTTCCACTACTTCCATAGATTTTCCCGTTAAGGTTCCTATATTCCACGTTCCTAAACGCATTTTGCTCTCTTGAACTCTACCCTTCTGTCCTAGCTTCTTCACCCTCCCCCGTCTAATAGGATCAAAGTACTTCTTTTGTGTGTCCCGGGTAAAGTTGATAGGAGCATATGCTCCCAAACAACTTTGAGTGGAGTCGTTCGAAAAGAAGTTTCTATGGCCCCCTTGCTCATTTAACACTGCATCCGGGTGCCGATGGAGATACAGCGACCCTTGCTCACTTATCACTGTGCTCAGGCCACACAGCGCGCCACTTACGGGTGACGCCCTAGCTTTAGCGCGATTTTGTTCTGGATTCATTTTCATAAGGATTCGACGTGATCATGTTATCTGATTAATACTTTGTTTTACAGAATTATCTGCAAGATTTGATGCATTATCCGAGCTAGCAAAATCATTCCAAGCGTCGAATGAATCATCATCCGCATCAGTAGTCTTATTATCAAGAGGCTTAATGCTAGTGGTCTGCAATTGGTTGTCCTGAACCCAATCGACACCACTTTGTTTTACAGAACTATCCACAACATTTGGTGCATTACTCGAGCTTGCGAAATCATTCCAAGCATCAAGTGAATCATGATTCTCCACAACAGTATTACTATCAAGATCCTTGTTGCTAGTGATCTGCAATTGGTTGTCTTGAACCCAATCGACACCATCAGGAAAAGAGTTATTCACATTTTCAGCTATTCCACCCTTCATCTCAGCAAAGATTTCCAACCGTTCAGGCCCTCCAGACAACCCAGAGTTGGAAACGCCCAACAGATCATTTTGAAACCAGTCGGAGGACATGGATGCAGACCCAGTCACACTATGGTTTGATTTTTCATTTGTTGAGTCCACTACAGATCCAAATACTGTGCCTATGTGGGCAGAATGGGCAGAAGAAAGATCCACTGTGGAACCCACAAAGGGGTCAAGGGATTTTGATTCTTGGGGAAAGGTTTCAGAAGCTTGAGGGAGGTTTTCAGAAGCTCGAGGAAGTATTTCAGAAGCTTGAGGAAGGTTTTCAGAAGCTAGAGGAAGGGTTTCAGAAGCTTGAGGAAGGTTTCCAGAAGCTTGTGATTCAGAAGCAGCAAACTGAAAACTTGCCGCCCAACTAGAATCACCACTCTCTCCTTCAGTAGTCTGCACAACTGTCTCAAAAGGCTTTACATTCTCAAACAACCTAAGAGTTTCATGACCTTGGAAACTCTCTTTACCGACAATCTGTGTGCTAGACCCGAACAACTCTTCGGAATTACTCGAAGCACCATCTTTCTTTCCTTCAAAGAAAAAGTTGTCGGGATTGACTCCAGCCAAATCTGGAAATTTGAGGAGATTGGGGATCTCATTTGGGAGATCAGTCTCAGTTTTCTCTGGCTTAGAGGTCCATTTTATTTCAAGATTTAAGAGATCAGACAGACTTAACTCATCCTTCCGCGCAGTCTGTGCTCTGTTTAATTCATTTGTTCCAACAGGTAAATCCACTACCTCCTGCAAACCAAAGTCTCAAACTTTACCAAGTATTCAAGAAGCCCCACAAAATTAATTTCAAAGTCTCTACATTGACGAGGGGACAATAAACCTCATTTCTAGCAAACAAACGATAGGCAGACAAAACTATAATTTCCCACTTAGATGATATGGTTGCTGAATAAATGGACTACAAATCGGTAGCACCTACGAATTTCGAGTGTGATCGCCTAACATCGAGTACTAAGTAGATGTTGATACACATCATATACTATGTACTATTTCAAAATCACCTTCAACCATTTTAATTTTCCATGCACTATAGATTAACATAAATAGCTTCGAATCAGATAAAGAATTTTCGACATCATTACGCTGTTGGGCGGCTAGAATAAGCTGGTAAAACAAATTTAGCAAACTAAAACAATCAAAGCTTCAATCTTTTTCATCATCCACAAGCAAGAAAGCATATAATTTGTTAAAGTGGTGATTTTTCTTGAATAAACGCATTGAGAATTCAAATTCCGTTTCTTTCGAGTTCTCCCATCAACCAAACACAACAAAAGGAATCCCCATTTTATTTCCCCATCTTAATCTCAATTTTTCTCATCAACCAAACAAAAGATAGAAAATCAAGTCGCATACCGATCCACTTAAGCTCAGGTACTGGAGCAGCCAACGGTACCCAAAAGTATCCCGGAAATTGATGGGGTCGGGAGGGAGGTCCTTGCAGTGTTCTCTGCCGCAGAAGACGCAGGTCAGCGTCTGAACGCCCCTCAGCAGCCGCCCTTTGCAATGCCTGCACCTCAGGTACGGCGGGGATGGATCCAACTCCGCTAGTGTTTCTTCGACAAAAGGTAGATTCGGCAGCGGCGTGTCGTCCGGGTCGTACGACGACAGCTCCGCTTCTTTCCGAAGCGAGATCTGCACCTGCTTTATCACATCCATCGGGATTTCCATCGCCATTATCAGAGTTGGTGGCCGTCGATGCGTGTGTTGGAATCGGGCGGCGGGCGGTTGAGTGATGAGGGGCACAGAGTCACTCAATCGCCATGTTTCCCACCAGTTTCTGTTCGACTCTCACTGCTCGGAATACGTGGTAAATCCTTAAAAAACAATCTTAATTTAATTTAATTTAATTTAATAATCTTCTTGTGAATTCAAACTTAATATCACCATATTGTATCATTAGAGAACTCTCTTTTACAAATCGATATTTTTACTTTAAACTAAGAAGGAAATATTTGAACCCGACAAAAACTTAGATACATTCATCACTTGCTGAAAACTGTTAATCATACATCATGATGTACACAAATATCAAACACACTAGTTTCAAAAATTGGCTAAAATAATGAATTTACAAATTTCAAAATTTATTCAAAACCGACGTATTGATTACATTTTGGGCTCCGTAAGTGGATAAATTTGCACATGCATTTTAAAGTAGACAACAATGCTTATTGGGTTTGCATACACTATTGAAGACGCTCTTAGACTACTCTCAAATTGTTTAAAATAATTTTTCTCAAGTGTGCATGCATAAGATTTTGCGAGACTCAACAATCGCATTGTCTACAAGAGTTTTTTACTCAAAATTTACTAGCAAATCATGAAAAAATTCTACAAAATCCACATAAAAGTTTAATTTCATTTAACTTTTACCACAACATAAGCTTATGAGAATTCATACTAAACATTACAGATAATGCTTAACCCAAACACAACTTAACACAAATAAAACGGGAAAACGATTTACTTTAAAAGATGAATAAATAAATCTGAAAATTAAAACAGCTTCTCTTTTTTTGTTTGGAAGAAAGTTTAACCGGGGTGGATGCTACTTCATCCTAGAGATGGATCATCTGCATATATCATTTAACAGGAGGGATCTTTAATTTTTTCTTAAAGTAGGGATACATTCTTGACTGTTGGATTGGTTTTAATGAAATTGTGTAGTTGAGATTAAATCACACGCCACACAATCTTAACCAAACAATTTCATTAAAAGTTAATCTAACAGTTAAAAGGGCCTTCCTATTTTTTTAGAAAAATAAGGATCCCTCTTTTTAAAATACAAAACTATTTAAGAACTTACTGAAAGGATTTTAACTTCTATTTTTTATTTTTATAAATTGCACATCAAAAGAAATTGTCAACACTAAAACTTAAACCTAGATGTTGACCTAACACAAATCTTACTAACTCGACCGACCTTCGTTAACCGAAATCGCTTCCTCGTAACAACGCCTAGTTGGACCAACTTGTCCTTTTATTTTATTCCAACTTGTCAATTACACTCTCAAAAGTCAAAACAGTGTAATTTAAATTTAAAAATAAAAAATAAAATCACCGTCACAGCCTCTCACAGATGAGAAAGCACCCATCTTTGATCTCCAGAAGTCCCCACTAAACACCGGCAGTCGAACCGTTGAGAACCGACGTCGCCGACTCCAAATTCCGCTACTTCCGATTCGATTTCAGAAGCTGAGGAAAAAGCCGAGATTAAGAGAGAGAGAGGAGAGAGAGGAGAGAGAGAGGAGAGAGAGAGATGGCGACGAGTCCGGCAGTGCTGAAGGCGGGGCTGGTGATAGTTGGGCTGTGCATAGCCGGGTACATAGTGGGCCCACCTCTATACTGGCACTTCGTGGAGGGCTTAGCCGCCGTCTCCCACTCTTCTTCTTCTTCCTCCTCTTTCGTTTGCCCTCTCTGCACCTGCGATTGCTCTTCTCAGCCTCTCCTCTCCATTCCCATTGGTAATTTACTCTTCTTTCTTCCCTTGCCCGTGATCCATTTTTACCAGATCTGACTAAATCTCTTGCATTTTTTCACGTTTTGTTTTGTTGGGTCTTACACATTTTGTCCTGATTTGATGCCAATAAGCTCAAATTTCCTTTGGATTCACTTATTTCAATCCATCATTTTTTTTCTGGGTTGGTGTTGAATTCAGCATCCAGGTCATAAAGTTTGGGCTTTTAAAGCTACTGTTAGTTGAATTGCATTACTATCAGATGTATACTTATATTGGTTCTTCTTTCTTCTGCAGGACTCAGCAACATTTCATTTGCAGGTTAGTTTCTTTCATGTAGAAGTTTATCTGCACTTATTGGGTAGTAATATAATTGATTGCTTTATATCTCTATGTGTTTATATATATGCGTGTGTGTGTGTGTGTGTGAGATGTTGTAGATTGAATGGGTTGTGAGATTACTGACATAAAGCTTCTCCTGGCCATAAAGCAGCATGCTTTCTCATGTTTATGTTGGATAATAATGTAGCAAATATATCATCCAATCCCAGTAATATTATCTCAAAATATTTCAATTTTAGATCCTTTCCAATGGACAAATTTTTCTCTTTGAACTCTTCACTGTTTACTTCAATTTCCTCAAATCCCTTTTGTAAGCGCGTATTCAGTTTTTCCGGCATAATGTGAGATGACTGTGTCAGTTGTGTGGTTTCTCCTCATTACAATGTCTGAAGTTAAGACTGCCTCAAAGGCTCGTGGATTAGTAGTTTTCTTTTGTGGGACTGTCACTCGATCTGGCCTGCTTTCCATGTGCAATTATCATTGTTTACAAATGAGCTGAACTCTGCTTTTGTCTTCCTTTCAATATTTCTTTTAAAGTTGTTGATTTCGCTTTCAAGGATGGATTTCTGTCTCTGATGCTTATTTGTTTGAAACAACCTTATGGAGATTTAAGTAGCATTGACGTGCAAAGTGGTGATTGATTGCCTACGTAAAGTTTCGGATTCTTTTTTATTCTTATATGCTTTGCATTGTCTATAACTCCATTTATTTATTTGTCATATGTTATGCAGACTGTGCAAAGCATGACCCAGAGGTGAACGAGGACACTGAAAAGAACTTTGTGGATCTTTTGACTGAGGAGTTGAAGCTTCGGGAAGCTGAAGCTTTGGAAAGTCAGCAACGAGCTGATATGGCTCTGCTGGAGGCGAAGAAGATTGCATCCCAGTATCAAAAGGAAGCAGACAAGTGCAGTTCAGGGATGGAAACATGTGAAGAAGCAAGGGAGAAAGCTGAAGCAACGTTAGAGGCGCAGCGGAAACAGACTGCACTATGGGAGCTTAGGGCTCGTCAGAGAGGGTGGAAAGAAGGGCTTACAAGGTCTAACACTCAGACGCAAGGAAATGTCCAGACTGTGTAAAAAGCTCCGTAGCATTTTGGGAACAGCCAAAGGCTAATCTTCTTCAACATGGTACTTCCTCTCTTGGTTAGCGATAAACTTTTACTAGGTTGTTCTTTTCACCTTAAATCGGGCATGATATGCAATCAATTTCATTTACCAAACTGAATTATTTGTATTTACAGTTAAAAGGTATACAGAAGGTTCCACTTGTAAGACTGGAACCGTAAATTCTTCAGTAAATGTCAGTATCGATGGTTGTCTAAATCCTATCTCAAAGGTGATTCTGCCGATTTCAATTTCCCTGAATTGGATGAAGCAATTCTCGATCGGACTCCCTGTTTCCCATGGACTCGTGGTTGTACCTTCGGCTTCTGAGGAAAATTGGTGTGAATTTAACAAACTAAATCACCACAAAATCATCACGGATTTAAATAAAATATCATAACTACAATATGCTTTTGCAGAGATCAAGGGGAAGTAGTAAAAAAGAAGGACCCACTTTTTTCCCTTACCTTTTCTATGGTACAAATATACTCGGTGGCAAAGAGGGGTTGCGGCACCCGGTGATGGCGGTGGTTCCGCTGCGTGAGAGAGTTCGAGATACAGGACGTGGTTCTTTAGTTGAGAGAACAAAATATGAATCAAGGTGGTAATGGATTGAGCAAGCAGGAGTAACAGATGACCTGTTGCATGCTAGATTGAAGAACAACGATTGGCTGCTGAAAGAAAAGGAGGGGCTCATGCTCTTATCCAATTAAAACTTCCAAGTGTCTGATTTGGTTCAAGTTCTATTTCTTTGAAAAAAAATTGGACATGTATCCAGTTGTGATTGGACACTAATTAAATTCAGTAGGAGCTCCTCCTTTTCTTTTCTTTCAGCAGCGAATCATTGACACACATCCTACGAGTCTAGGAGGTCAAATAATGAGTGTTAAAATCACTACCCTTAGATATTTAGTACTAAGGTCTAGTAATATTCTTCTTCATATATAAGTGAGAAATCTTGGGTTCAATTCTCATCAAAGATAAATTTGAATTACATTATTGCTCGTCTATTGTAAGACTGAGCTCACCTCCTACCCTCTTAATGTAAATACTATTGTTTGTTTAGAAAAACAAAATCACTAGCATTTAGTTTTCACAAAAAGCCACAAGATCTATGGGCCAAATAATTAGAAAACAAAGAGGGACTTTGTAACACCCGCCCCCTAATTATAAAGATTTATGTTTGTAATTACCCCTAAATGTTTTAAATATATCTATTTCATCCTTTTTGTCTACCAAATCAGGATCCAAAGCATTGGATCCCTTTTCTTTCTAAATCTGCCACGTGGGAGCCCCCCAAACAACTTCTCTTTCTTCTCTCTCTGTTCCCCCGTGAACCCCCCCTTCCTTCTTCTTCTTCTTTTTCTGTCTGTCATGTCTCTCTCCCTTCTCTCGGACCTCTCTCAGCTCCCTTATCTCTCTTCTCAACCGCGAACGCACGCACGCACCCATCTCCCCTGCGCGAGGAAGACCCCTCATCGTCGCCATCTCGTCCTTCTCCCCCTCTGTTCCGTGCTGCAACCCCAGGAAACTCGGAAAGGAACTCCGGCGAGTTCCTATTTTCCCGGTGAGGTAAGCCTCAAATCTCCCTTATTTCGTCCAAGAATCTTGTGGGTTGAGTTTTAATTGAGTTTATTGTGTGATTTTTGGAGGTTATAGGATGAAATCGAAGCCGGGTGTAGGCACACCCATCTCCGACGACTTTCGAGAGAATTTCCGGCCAAACCACGGCGAGTTGGCCGGCGTGCAAGGTATCAATCTCTTCGTCTCGTCGATTACTTTAACTTTCCTTTTTGTTTCACTCAATTTCATTGAGTATTGAAGAAGTTATACTCATTTGAAATCTTACCCAGTTTCCGGCGACCTCCGAGGCTTTCGAGGCAATTTCCGGCCAAACCACGGCAAGTTAGACGTCGTGTGAGGTATCATTCTCTTCGTCTCTTCCAGGGCTACAACTTTCATTTTTTTCTCGCTTGATTTTCGTTGAGTAGTGACAAAGTTATGGCCGTTTAAAGTTGGGTAGTTTTCCGGCCGAATTCCGGCCTTTCCTCCCTTTGAATCCGGCGACCCACCAACCCAAGGCCTTTGGGCCTTTCTGCCGAGCCCAACCCAAAACCAACCTAAACCCCTTTACCTAGAAACCCAACCCAACCTCCTTTTATTTTATTTTGTTTTTAGTATATTGTTATTATTTGTTTAAAAGGCCTTGGGCCTCATTTGTGAAAGCCTTAAATCCAAACTCATTTTCCTTTTAAAACCCAAACCCTTTTAGCCCTTAACCTAACCCTAACCCAAGTCCTAAAACCCTAAACCCTAAACGATCCAAACATTTTTGGGGAATATTCCGTCAGGGAATATTCAAGGAATATTCTATGGACTTTTAAGAAATTTATCCGGAAACCTTCTTAGGGTAATTCGACGTCCTAAATCCGTTTCCGACGTCCGTTTTCTCAAATTCAATTGTTATGCTAGAGTTTTATTAATTGGAACCCTTTATGTGCGTAGGGGCAATTATAGTGGCGTTTCTGTCTTCGCTAGCTGCGTGACTTTTCGACGGCGAAGTACTGTGAGTGGACCCCTTCAAAAGCATGTTTTAATAGTAGAAATGCATACATGAAAGGCATGATTTAATGATTACGTTTTATGAAACGTTTTGAGATAACATGCTTACTGAGGCTACTTTGAATTATTACTATTTTTCCTATAACCCATGTTCTTATAGAATATCCGATGGATGACGATATGATATTTAGAACATGTTTCGAACACCTCTTTATAGTATAGATGATGGATGACTTTATACTATGAAGTTGTTTTTCAATATATATATGTTCAATGGTTTTGTACTTACCTAGTGGTCCTTTCCGCTACGGGACGTAGGGATAGATTCCGGTCCGTCCCGGGCGACGGTTTGGTGTTGGCATAGGGCCTGGAGTGTGTTTCCTCTGGCTATTTAGCATAGGGACGGGGAGCCGGCATAGGGCCTGAAGTGTATTTTCCTCTGACTGTCTGCTCAGAGACGGGGAGCCGGCATGGGGCCTGGGGGTTATTGGACAATTCACTAGTGATTATTATATATACAAGTTATGATTTGAGACATTGCAGGGCATGCTAGGTTTCGGAAAACCTATGTTTATCATTATATATGTGTTTTCATAAAACCTGAAGGTTAGTACGTTGATAACTGTTTTACTATATATATATCAACTTGGTCCACTCATGTTTGTTTTGCACCCCCTTCAGGACATAGAATCGAGGCATACAATCTCGGCATCCAGGCACTTCCGCATCGGCATCTTCAAGTCCTCTCGGTGTAGGACCCACTTCTGTGTTCATTCAATTTTTATATTAATTCTTTTATTGTTCTAGATTAGATGTGTGCTCTGAACACGTTCCTTAAATACATATTCTTTATTCTCTATATTTATAAGTCTTATCTATCCCTTGTTGTCAGCATTTGCACTCAATAAATGGTTTTCGTCACCCTTCGGGTGTCGGCCAACACGTGACCATCCCTTTGTCCCTAGGACATCGGGATCGGGACGTGTCAGACTTAAATTCACTAGTATAATCCTTCATTCTTGAAATTGGAGCATGCACGATTGCAATTTTTTTTATGGTCGGCATCACTGAGTGGTTTGGAAAATCAACAAAAAGAGTTTACATATAATGCATGTAAGATCTTACGCAAAACACATAACACTAAGTACTGGTTTGATACTGAGATGTTTTTATAAAAAGTTTTTATAAAAAATTAGGTATAGAAAAAACTAAGGTAAAAAAAATGTTTGGTAAACACTTAAAAACAACTTATTTTCATAGTTTTGGATGACAAAAAAGCTGAAAACGTGAAGCAACAAAAATGAATTTATTCTCACATTATAGCAAAAACAAATTTTTTTCAAAACACAGAAATACCAAACCAACTCTAAATGGTCCCAAATATGAACACATTTGTGTCAAATCATACCAAATAAAGTCAAGGAAGTGGTCGGCAAGACCCATGGGTCATGACCCACGACCCACGATCCACCCCACACCAGAAGCCATCATCCACAATAAATTCCTTCAATTTCTAGTTCACTTTATTTAATTGAATCTGGCCACCCCAGGTCTTGGCCTTTTCCCTCAAATATCTGCCCTTCTCTACTTAATTACCTAAAAACCCCACACAGGCACCAAATTTCCGAAAAACCATATGATCCATCACATACGCATTTCAACGGCTACGATCGCCCCACTCTCTCACTTGGCCTTCTCAAGGGCTGTGATTGAAGTACCGGTTCCTGTGATTGAATCATATCTTTGAAATGCATACGCAACAAGCAAAACAGCAGTGAGGGTCACATAGTCCTTTGCAGCACACTGCTTGTTGGACTCACTTGGTGAACCGGTCTGCGGTCCGTTGGACCAGTACAAGTAGTTCAGTAACTCTTTGTTCTTCCTGAACCGGTCCGGTTTAAACGTGTCCGGTTCATCGAAGACCTTCTCATCCCTCATGACCTGTTGTTGAAACCCACAGAGCAACTCACCCTTCTTGATGTCAAAGATTGAGTCGTGTGAACTCAGTTGGAAGTCCTTTCTGGCCCGGGCAAATTGGAGTGGAACCGGTGGGTTGAACCGGAGGGCTTCGCACACTACGGAATGAACCAGTTGCAAATTTTTCACCGAGTCGAAACTCAAAGTTGAACCGGCGTTTTCTCTGACTTCTTTGACTATTTTGGCCTGTAAACCGGTGGTGTCGCTTGCTATTGTGCCTATCAAACTAGGCAGAAAGACAGAAAACCCACCAAACGCATTGAAACCAAGTACAAAGAGAAGGTTGTGAATTGTTTCTTCTTTCGTCAGTCCGAAATCGGTTTCACCTCTCTTTACTACTTCTTTACCTATTCATGAACATATAAAACAAAGATATGGATGGCATTAAACTTGTCAAGTAACGTGATTTGTACCACATTTATTGATCACACCTTTAATAGTGTGTATTATATTGGCGACTCATATAGGACATGCATGGTAATGCCATCTTACTAATCTTTTGTTGACATACAAACATTTATGTTGTTTGTGAATCTAGATTGCACATCAAGCAATAATCAACTTGATCAATAGTTTAAATATACAGTCTGATAAGAAAACTTTTATGTGTCTATATAGTATGTTAATGAATGCAAGTAGAAAAAGTTTTTGAATTCAAATATATTTCGAAGGGCATGAGATTAATAGGTTGTTTAACAAGAAGTAACTTACCATGTTCTTCTATAAACTGGTAAAGCTTGTTGTAGTCTCCACTGACAAGAAAAGAAGGGTATGCAAAAGAATGGAGGAAAATCTCTTCCAGGGGCTGAAGCACACCAATCTTGACAGTGGGGAGGATCTGGAGGGCGAGCCACCGGTCGAGCATGGCGTAGCCAGACTCCGCTATCTTGGGCGAGCTTGCCGGGTCAGCTCCAACTAAGCATTTAGTGAAAAACTTGAAGATGAACTTCTGGAGTGGGATCAAATAGCTGGCACTCCCATCTTTGGAAACATCTGCTTCTATTGTGTCCCAAAAGGTTGAGAGGTTGGCAGTGAGCTCAGGCACCCATGTCTTGGAGCTTCTTTTCAAGATGTCCAAGGTAAAGTTTTTGATCTGTGAAGAAGATATTAAGATGGTATTGGTAAGTTGATAGAAATTAAACTTCCCAAAAGACGGAAAAAGTCGAGTAAACTCGCATCCTATAAAGTAGATTTCATATAACATCCTATACAGTAGATTTCATATCTTGCGAGATGAAAACCTTTTTCATGAATTGTATTTTCATACTATTGAACCCCTTTTGATCTTTTTGCATAGCGCATCACTTATCAACAAAAATAGAGAAAGATATTGCACAACCTTCCAATTAGGTTCGAGAATTTCTTGCACAACACGTTAACTCACTACAAAACGACACACAAAAATAACAGGTTTCAGGTCAATTTGTTAATGAGTTGAGTTACTATCGGGTCACCCGTTAACGAGTAGAGTTGTTACGGAACCTGATAAGATATTGTATGTTAAATTTAGACATAGGCACACCTGACACGACCTATTAACAAATTAAATCCTTATCAAATCACTTGTTAAAAATCCGTTAATATAACGGATTGACACAACTCAACCCATTTGCCAGGTCCACTTCCAACCCAAGGTTTGTGATAAGATTTTGACCCAACGGGGGTCCTACTTGTACAATTTTGGGCAACAACGTAGTGGAGTGGATGAGCATCTAGTCATTTCAAATATCATGACAGACAGGTAAGAGGAAAACCGTAAAATAACAGTCGTTAATTTATCTTAAAAATTTCTGCGTGGTTTCAAGTCTCGATCCCTAGTTTTACACTCTCATTTCGATTAAAAATTAAGAGTGTAAATCACCGTTGAAGAAAAAAACATACTCCAAAAAGAGAGGGAGAGAGAAACTGTAGGAAATTAAACCCATGTATCTCATTTCCCAGACTCAACTGCAACTAAAAATCACCACCTTCCAATTGTTGTAATGGATGAGGATTCTCTCCGGATCCTCGCCAGATCCTCTTTTTAAGGATCTTGGAGAATCGTGTCTGTTCATCATACATTACGATCATTTTCTGTCGGATACTGTTTGTAATCAATTTTAAATAAAAAAAATTAAAATGATTTCTGACCGTAAGATGACAGATGAACAGACATAATGAAGTGATCCTCGAAATCCTTGAGAATCCAGATAAGATCTTATTCCAGTTGTAGATGTCCCCCATCGCATACATTTTAGACTGATTTGTCCCTAAAGCATGACACCTGTGATATACATTTGGACCATCTGGGACTTTTCTAAGGAACACAGAAAACACAAACCATTCATTTCTTCCGTCCAAAATATCCAACCAATCACTCTTCGAAAAATCTACTTCTGGTTCAGCAACAACTGAAAACAAGAAATGTCTTCAAATGCTCAGCACAATTCTCTCTTTCTAAAAACTAGGTGACGTTCTTTTACTAGACTGTGAATCTGAATTGTACATTTTCATTTTTAACGAAGATATACTAAATTAACCATCCAAACAATACGCTGCAACAAATCAAATTAATAATCTGAATTCACAGTCGACAATCTATAGTTTTAACATTTCTAGTAAAATACTGCATGAGTTAATTCATTAACCACAGTGCAAAAAATCTTCTCACCCCTTTTGACAAATGAAAATTTCAAGCTTGTACTTTGATCCAAAAAATGAAATTCAAGCTTTTACTAGCTGAAGCTCTGAAATCGATTCAATTAAAACAGTTACCTATTTGGGAAATCAACAAAAATAATAAAATAAAATAAAACTAAATTTGATTGCCAAACTGATTGGACATACTTATAGATCCATCGTGTTACCTAATAAATTCATCATTTAATCCTAATAGACATTTTTTTTTTTTGAGATCGGTTAGTTTAGCACTTCGATGTTGTAAAATCATTAAAACAACTAAATTTCCTAACTATTTTTTGTGGATCTAAGGGTTGTTAAATTAGCTAGAGTTTATGTACTTTTTTACTCTCTACCCTCGTAATCTCACTTCCGCTCCCATAATTTAAATTAGTTTAGAGTAAGATATCGGTAAAAAAATATAAAAGAATTCTACACGATCCCAATATTTGCAAAAAATAAAGAAAAATATGTACCTTAGAGTGTTGGGGTTCAGATGTATCAAGATAAGCGCAGGTCCTCAAGTCGCCGGTGAACTTGACACTGGGCATGAAGTCGCCGACAAGAACATTCTTCTTCTCGACCAACTCCATGTCGAACATGTACGAGAAGGACTTGCAGTCGAGGACGGCGACGACGTTGGGGTTGACGTTCAGGAACAGCGGGAAGCTGGGAGGGACATTCGTACGGAACACCGTGCTCTTGTACTTCTCGGTGCGCTTTTTGAAGAATGTTTCGGGACCCTGGAACCAGAAGTAGTCCAGGCGGTCCGAGACGGGGCCCAGCAGCGGCCAGCCGTAGCCTCCGGGGATTGTACGGACTGGCAGAGATGCTGGTGGTTGTGGTTGAGAGAGCGGTGGCGATGACGGTGAGGGGGACGGTGACGGTGACGATGGGATGCCTGGGGTCATGCTCATCATGAAAGCCATGATTTATTTTATTTTTGATGGATTTTGAGATTTTGTATAGTGAAATGAGAGAGGTGATTGTGGGTTGGTCTTTCCAGTTGTGAGCCAAGTGCTTTGGCTGTAAAAGTTCAGAAAATATATGACTCGCTATATGCAAGAAATTTTAGGCTTTCTATCCAAAATACCTCCTGAAATTAGTATAACTTCTTATTTTAAATTTAAAAATTTTAAATTGATAGAAGTAATTATTCATCTTCAATTATTTTGATTATTCTATAAAAAAATCTCATTAAAGAATAAAAAAATGACAGAACTACTCTAAATTTTCATCAAATTGTTTTGGCCAATTGATTATTAAACTGATGATGTTTTATTGCCCTTAGACCATCTCCAACCCTTGGGCTAAAAACCAAATTTTTTAGCCCGAAAAATTTAGCTTTTAGCCCAGAAACATCTTTTCTGCTCCAACCCTTCTATCCTAAAATTTTAGCCCGAAATTATTAAAGAATGAAATTAGCCTAATTTTTTTTCTTAAATCAATTTTTTTTTTAAAAATAAATATGTAGATTATTGTAAATTAATTTTATGAACATTTTAATCTAAAAAAATTTAAATTCCGATAAACATTTCGCATTTAGCCTGGGGAAAGCTGGGGGTATTTAGCCCAGAAATAGCATTTGGCATTTAGCCTAAAATTTTAGCATGGATTGGAGAGTGTTTGGGGGGGGTAATTTGGCTTTTAGCCCAGGGTTGGAGATTGTCTTATTTAGCATAAGTTTTTCACAAAAAAACCAAAATAATTGATAGTGAATAAACTCATGAATCACTTCTATCTCTTCAAAATCTCAAGAATCAACTTAAAAGTTATATCAAACTCATAGACAATTTTGACAAAAAAACCGAAATTTTTATAAGTGATTGAAACACGTATTTGTATTGTATTATTTCATGTATTACAATAAAAGTAAATAAGATGATTGATGTCTTATCTACCAGATAAACTTACACAGAACATATTATGTAAGTTGCTCTTCCCTTGTAGGTATATTAAAATAAATGTATTTAATGAATTAAATTTTATTGAGAAATAAATAAAATAGAAATGATTTATCATCAATTGTAAAGAGTGAATTAATGTTTCGAGTGATGGGTGAACAGGAAAACCAGCGTTTCGTATTGGTTTATTAGAAACAAAGTTTTTTTTTTTAATTTTTTTATTTTAAGAGTAATGTTTGAGGATGTTAAATTTAATTTCGTAACTAAGCGGCCAATAAACTTAAGTGGAATTTTATTTGTTTGATTGTTAAGGGGGAGAATAATATGCGTTTCCAAGTAAAGACAAAAAATGGGAAAAGGATGTTTGATTGTGTGGATGATATAACATCTTAACTATTCATCGTACATTGTGCTAATCAGGTACTATTTGTTTTTAATTTTAAATAAAAAAATCAAATAACTTTATGACCGCATGATGTACAATAAATAGCTATGATATGAGGATCTCTAGAATCCCCACAATCTGAATGTGAGAGGGATCCAAATCAGTTTTATTGAAGCGTTTGATTGGTGTGTCACAAGAAACACATGCTATGTGTCTTTAATGCAAGATAATTTTTATTATGAATAAACACAATTAAAGAATTCCTCATAAATGAATCCGGAAAAAATCCTAATTCGATAATGACAAGCAAGGAACTCGTCAAGAAGCCATGGTGACATCATTGACAGATACAGTGACATGTAGGTAGTTGACTGAAGTCATTGTTTACTTTCTTTTTATCCTCTCCGGATTCGCTCATCCGGATCCTGCAGACGTCCCTCCATCACTCACCTCTCCCTCACACTTCCACCGAATTCTCACGGCATATTCCCCGACCTTCAACCCCGGTCCCCTCTCATTTTTTTCTTCTTCTTCTTTCTTTTTTGTGGTTCCGCTTCGTCAATCGCCACCGGAGAAGAAGGCAAGAATATTAAGAAGAAAGAGAAAGAGTGTGAAAGTTAAAAAGAAAGAATGATTTCAGCCGCATGATTTTACGAAATTAGCTGAGCTATTTGATCGTCGGGATCTGATTGGAAGGGATCCGGATTACGATCCTTCTCTGTGTTCATGAAAAACGTGGCCTATTGCTTTGATTGATTGTTTTGTCGCACTTTCTAAACTTTGTAAGCTTGTAGGTCGGCCTGGCCCACATTAATGTTACGTTACTAGTGTACTGTAGAGACTTGTGGACACCAGTTTTTGTTAATTTCCTTTTTGTTGAAAAGTTTTTGTTCATTCTTTAATAATATTTTAAGTTATGCCACTATTAATATTTACTACAAATGATGTTCAATATTAATCTATTAAAAAGTTTGAAATTGAAACGTAATGGAGTGAAAAAAAAAGCCTTGATCACCTGAATGATACAACCCACAACTTACTAGTAACAATATTAGTTGTTTGCAAAATCGTTGATGCATTGTAGGATTCATTTGCATCAACGGCTCACCAATTACTTGTGTATTTGTGAGCATTGCTCTAGTTTAATATTTCCAAACCTACCGGAAAATTCACTTGCATTAACAACTCACAAGTCACTCCTATATTCTTAGCATCACTCTAGTATTTCTTCACCATTTGAAAATCCCAAGTACTAAACTTCGATGCATTATTGCTATTTTCCTAGCAATTGACTTTTTTTTTTAAAAGTGTTATTCACATACTCATTTTTACATTCAACACACCATTATAAATTTTATGTTCTTAATCTTCTTTAATTCATTCAATCCGACGACCAAAAATAGATATAATGTGTGACAACTAAAAAAGATTCTTTAGATAACATTACCTCTCTTTTTTTTGTTATATAAGACATTAGAAATGAAGGAATTTGAACATAGGTTTTGCGGGCAAAAATATCTGTTCTTAAATTTAACCACTTCAGCTACAGATCATTCTCAAGATTAATTTAAAATATTGAAAGGAACACCAATATATTAAATATAAAACTAAGTCGTAAAGTACACTTTCAGAGACATTTTCCATTTTCCATTCAAATAATAACAGCAGAGTACAAAATCATAACAGCGGAGAAAATGCTCCCAAACTTTTTCACGTAAGGTGAATGTTGAGATCATCCAGATTGGTGGAGCCCAGGATCCTCAAACCATGCTCACTGGCCACAGTTCATGTTCCATGATCTCCACATGTTAGTAGGTAACGAGTAAGTTTCACAGACAGTTTGATTGCAGCATGAAGAAAAAAAGAGGACACCACTCAATCGGAAATCATACATCAAATAAATATAGAGAGTTTTAACAAAAAGTCTACGGTACTGTTCATTTTAACGAAAAATCACATTTTTACATTAAAAAGTTAAACCTGATACTATTCACTTTAGCCTTTATTTTGTTCTTATCGTTAAAACTCAAAGTTTTCAAGCTATTTTCATTAGTTTTCCTATAAATCTATAGGATTGTATCAGCATATGCATAAATCCCCAATCAAGCTTTCTTATGTAATTTAACTTCTTTTTAATAAAGATGGTTTCCTATATGTTCTATTGCCTAAGAAAACTAAAAACCTGAAAAATAAATAAGCAAATAAGTAAATGACTTAGCAGACCTGGATCGAGGTTTGAACAGATTCTTGTGCATGGTTCCAAAGAGTTTCTTTCAAAGCCTTCACATCGACTTGTTTGGAAGTCTTGTCGCAGTGAACTTAAATTTTGTTAACCTGTATTGTTTAGATGTAGGAAGCAAACAGTAAGCAAAAAACTGCACAGATTTGTTTTAGCGGATTTTGAATTACATACTGAAAGTGTAAAACTATTCATAAATCATGTTTATACCATACTTAGGGCTTCCGTATTTAGACCTCGTATAAATACTTGGGGGACTCAAATGTAATTATGTAATAAAGGAATGGGCAAATATGTAATAAGTGAGGAGCCCTTATTCTATAAAAGGGACTCCTTACCCTCACAATTAGGGCAAGCCTCCTCACCCCCAAAGGCCAATTCTTAGGCCACACTCTCACCTTCTAAGAGCTCTCATCCTCATAGAGAAGCTCCCTCTCTCCCTCATAATCCTTTCAGAGAAATACAATATCAGTGTGGACGTAGCCCAAACATTGGAGTAAACCACGATACATCTTATGTTCTTTACATTTCTTGCAGATTCACAGTCGGATTTACGTTGTTCCAAGACCCCTCCGGTTTTGTGCATCAACATTTGGTGGCGTCTGTGGGAAACGACACGAACAGCTATGTCGATTCTCTCTCAATTTTTCATACCACCACAGTGAATCTGCAAAATCACAAAAATCCAAAAAACCAAATCTCTCTCTCTTTCCTTCTCTCTCAAGTTTGGTTTCTCAGAACAACAAACTTGTTCGCTGGGTGTAGATGATCGAGACCAAGAACCAAGCCTTATTTGATGGGTACCTTGTTGAGCCCGAGCTCGCCGACGATTACTTTGAATGGGCTGGGCTAGTCTCTTGGTGCATGCAGCTTATGCGGGCCGTTAAAAGGCCCATACTAGTTTCTCTTCCCCAGACCTGCTGTTGTCCGCCCTGCTTCCTGCGCATATATATATACACGTGCTTTTGGCCAGAAATCCTGCAGTATTGTTGCAAAATCACCGAGCTCGTCTCCACGTCATCGACCTCTCTCCCGTCCCTCTGGGCCCCGACGTACACCACCAACCAATCACCGAGCTCGTCTCCTACGACACCGCCGACAGAGTATACGACGTCGTATGATCTGAGTCCCACGATTCCCTCCTAGTTGCTGCTATCGCTGACGAATCCGGCCCCCAACCCCATTCGCTCCCTCCACGAGCACACGCGCAAGGTCAGCTCCTTCAAGAAATACGCTTATTGTGTCTACTCTGCCGTATGAGTGGTTGGAGACAAGCTCGGTGAATCTGCAGATCTGCGGTGGTTTCTCTAAACTGCCACTATTACTGCAAAAGCCCACTTCCTCTTCTTGCCGTTTCTCCTCCTACACTTACCCTTCCTCTACACAGCCTTCTACCTCTTATCCGCTTCGTCCTGCGGTTTTACTGGCAAAGCCGGAGAGCCAAGTAAGCGGCGGGGTCAACACCGGCGCAAGAGATGATCAACCTGTTGTCCGTCCTTCAAAAAGATAGATTTACCCCCAGGTTCTACATCGTGGCGGCCACTGATAACTTGAGTCTCCAGAATGCTCGACTACTCAAAGAGAACGCCGATGAGAGTTCGAGCTCGTAGTTCATGCAGATCTACCAGAGCAGGGAAGTGGATGGTCGTTTGTGTTTTATGTTGAAAGTATAGCAAAGAGTGCAGAGGCTCTCCCTAAGTGGCTTGCTTCTTTACAAGTTACGGATAGCGGATCAGTTCTTTGTCCAATAGCCTCAGTTACAGAAGAAGTATCCCAGAGCTCACTATGTCGGTTGTCTCATGTAGTTGATCTGATTCTGCTTATGCTATACGTGATTTAACGTCCATGTTTTCTCAATACAAATCAGGCACGAGGATTGAAAAGGGGCCTAGTTCGATTCTTAGAGAAAGAAACCACCGCAGATATGTTCTCTTTCTATCTCTCTCTCTTCAATTTCTCTGTGATAGCACATGGGAAGACAAAAGCAAAGCAGAAAAGATGCAGAAGAAAGGCAAAAGCAATCAAGTGAGCTGCGGGAAACAAAAGCAAAAGCAAGGAATAAAAAGAGAAAGGAAAGGATTATACTTTTGCTTTTGTCGACCACCAAAGCAGAAGATGCCATCAACTTTTGAAAATGAAAACTTTCATCATGCATGTCCCAACTTTTTTGAAGAAGCCACTGGAATACGCACATGGAAAAAAATCTGCAACAACCCAGTACGCACCAACGATCAGTAATTGTCGATAACTTTGTTTTAAATGATGTAATTTATTCTTCTTATTTTTCGCAGATATCTGTATAACCCCATCAGAGGGTTAAAAAAAAAACCGGCAAGCCCAAAATAATGGGTTAGAATGTTATGTGGAGGGCGAAGGCTCATATGCCCAAAAGAGCCAGGCCCTCTATTATCACCAACTAGGTGATCAAAAGTACGTCCAGTACTACAAAAATTATTCGGCAGCCTGCCGCTATTACCACCAACCAGATGATCAAAAGTACGCCCAATACTCCAAAATTATTCAGCAGCCTGTCGCTATTATCACCAACCAGGTAATCAAAAGTATGCCAACCAGGTAATCAAAAGTACGCCCAATACTCTAAAAATTATTCAACAATCTGCCGCTATTATCACCAACCAGGTGATCAAAAGTACGTCCAGTACTCCAAAATTATACATGAGCATCACTCATGTCAATCATACATAAACATTCATGAGCATCACTCATGTCAACATTCATGAGCATCACTCATGTCAACATTCATGAGCATCACTCATGTCAACATTCATGTCAACATTCATGAGCATCACTCATGTCAACATCCATGAGCATCACTCATGTCAATCAACATAAACATTAATGAGCATCACTCATGTCAATCAACTTCAAAAGCTTCATTTACAAAAGCTCCAGCTTCGAAAGCTGCATTTACAGAGCTTTAGCTTCAAAGCTTCAACTTGCAAAGCTTCACCTACAAAGCTTTAGTGTAGGGTATACAAATACTGCATCCGAACAACCGCCTCTTCGGCCCATACATGGATTCAATTTGAAGTCTCTAGCCAACAAACTCTATTGACCGAAGACTTGGGGGATTACATTATGTACCATATATTGGGCCTCAACTAGGCCTCATGAAAAATACTTGGGGGACTTAGCCCATTATTTATGTATTGAAGAGCGGGCCCTTATTCTATAAAAGGGACTCCCTCACTTTCATTAGAGAGCACCCATTATTTATGTACTGAGGAGCGAGCCCTTATTTTATAAAAGGGACTCCCTTACTTTCATTAGAGAGCACCCATTATTCATGTACTGAGGAGCTAGCCCTTATTTTATAAAAGGGACTCTCTCACATTCATTAGAGAGCATCGCCGCCAGCTGAGCAACCGCCTCACCACGAGCATCACCCCTAACCCATCATTTATGTATTGAGGAGCGAGCCCTTATTCTATAAAAGGGACTCCCTCACCATCATTAGAGAGCATCGCCGCCTGCTGAGCAACCGCCTCGTCGCAAGCATTAACTTTAGCCCATCATTGATGTATTGAGGAGCAAACCCTTATTCTATAAAAGGGACTCCCTCACCATCATTAGAGAGCATCGCCACCTGCTGAGCAACCACCTCGCAGCGAGCATCAACTCTAGCCCATCATTTATGTATTGAGGAGTGAGCCCTTATTCTATAAAAGGACTCCCCCACCTTCAACACCACAAGCCGAGCAGCCTCGCAACATGTGTTACTGCTAATTAAGCATCATTTCAGATTGAGCACTGCCTCATATCGAGTATCAGTTCAAGACAACATCTAGTTACTTTGGCCCACACATAGACTGAATTTCAAGTCTCTAGCCAAAAGACTATCTTGAGTGAAAACTTGGGGGACTACTGTTTATACCATACTTAGGGCCTCCATATTTAGACCTCGTATAAATACTCTGGGGACTCAAATGTAATTATGTAATAAAGGAATGGGCAAATATGTAATAAGTGAGGAGCCCTTACTTTATAAAAGGGACTCCTCACCCTCACAATTAGTGTCACATCCCGACTTGGGGTCCACCACATCCCAGGCCCGCTCCACCACCGTAGCACGATATTGTTCGCTTTGTGCCCCGACTACGCCCTCACGGTTTTGTTTCTGGGAACTCACACGAGAACTTCTCAGTGGGTCACCCATCATGGGAATGCTGGGAATGCTCTCGCGCGCTACTCTCTTAACTTCGGAGTTCTGATGGAACCCGAAGCCAGTGAGCTCCCAAAAGGTCTCGTGCTAGGTAGGGATGAGAATATACATTTAAGGATCACTCCCCTGGACGATGTGGGATGTTACAATTAGGGCAAGCCTCCTCACCCCCAGAGGCCAATTCTTAGGCCACATCCTCACCTTCTCAGAGCTCTCATCCTCATAGAGAAGCTCCCACTCTCCCTCATAATCCTCTCAGAGAAATACAATATCAGTATGGACGTAGCCCAAACATTAAGGTGAACCACGATACATCTTGTGTTCTTTACATTTCTTGCAGATTCACGGTCGGATTTACGTTGTTCCAAGACCCCTCCGGTTTTGTGCATCAACAAATCATAATATTGCAATCCTTATCATCTCCGGGATGAACATCTATAAAACTAGACATAATCCAAGTATAAACCCTTAAACTACATGAGTTGAAATCAAGTTCGTAAAATCACCACAACTCATGTCATTGGCCATACACAAATATTCTGACTCATGAAGATGGAGCTAACTCAAATTACGTCAAGCTGAAAAGTTTGGAAAACCATTTTTGAACAAATATTTACAATGCTGTGAGATTAGAGAGTGATCTGTTGGATAAATATTCACAGTTACGGCCCTCCTCCACGACTTTTGTTTGGTCACCATGATCATAATCCCAGTTCCCGCAAAATGCATCACTATCAAAATCAGCTTCATTGTAATAGGCAGCATCAACTTGCTCTGCTAATTCTTGATCACTTGTATATATATCTACTGGCCTTCTGTTATCCTCATCAAATCAATCAACTAGACTCCTAAGAGTTGGTGAAATTTCATTTTTGATTTGCATGTTCAATACCATCTGTTCTACATATTCTATAAAAGATCAAGAAAAAGTAAATCTTAGTAAACCACATCATTCTCATTTGGAAAAAATAGGAAGATGAGATTTACGAAGAACTCAATAGAATACAGAAAACGCAACTCACCACCAAGATCAATGGTATCTGATAATAATAATTATCATTTGAATGTTGATCTTACCAAATCTTTTTAACATAAGACCCTGGATAATAAGTAAAGCGCATTCGGAATCGTTCAGGGTTTCGTGCGGAGTGACGAAATAAAGGTATTGAGCCATTTTTTCTCCTTCTTCATGACCCTGAGCCTGAATAAGTGGGGTAATTTTGCCGGCCAAAAGTGGGATGGTTTTATCGGGAGGAAGGACAATACTGAGTAACTTCTTGTTCTTTTCTACCATGCATTTTGCTAGTTCGACGCTTTCTGGAATACCGGTTATAACACGATGAAGAGCGGTAAGACCCACAGTCTTGTATTTCCAAGTCTTTTGGTCTCATTAAGTGCACCATTTCTTTTGCAATGTCCACCTTCTTAAAAAAGAATGCCCAGTGAAGAATTGTCCCACCTTCCCTAATTCTTGCAGTTACTGCCTTGGGATGTCGCTTAAGAAGCTCCATTGCAGCATCCCAATCACCCCTCATCACGAAATGCATAATAGCTTGATTAACGTGGTTGTCTTCGTGTCCTGCCAAGCTAGCTAACGTTACATATACATCCCCATAATGTACGTAACATATAGTTGTTACCCTCATCACCAAAACAAAAACATATGGACTATATACTTCTAACGCATTTTTTTTTATTCTTCTTCAGTTTATTGTATATATAGACTACTTTTGTTTTGTTTTACCATTGAATATTATCTCTTTTTATTTGTAAATTGCAACTGTTCTCAGGAATTCAAAGTCAATGACATTATGCATTTTAGTTTCTCCTTGAAAAAAGCAAAATAAATGACTATTTTAGAGTGCAAATAACAATGTAGAATTTGAAAGGAGTTTAATTAATAAATATTGAACGGAAATCTTTGTGACAATTGAGACATAATACCTTCATCGAGCGATTCTTCTATGGCATCATTCTCTGGCTCTATCTCAACAATGTTTGGGTTGTTATTTGTGTGATTGTTGGATATATCCCCTGAAAAATGGAATCATTTATGTTAATATCCCATCATTCTCTATTGGGAAATATATTTCTCCATTTTCCTATCTTATTTTTGTCGTAGTTTAAATTGAACTATTCTATTAAGGATAGATCTAATTCAACTGAAAAGAGTCAGGTCGAAACCAAAACTGACACTACTCACACAATTGACAAAAAAAAAAAAAAAAAGATGTCATTCTTTTTAATGAATATGAACAAAAAAATGTCAAATATTAGTGGTTTTTCCTTTTGGAAGGCCAAATAAATTGGACTCACTACACTTTGTATACGGTACAACAAAAAGGCAAAGAGATATGTTTAGCACCTCAAAGGGCTGGTTTGATATTATTGTGCTTTGGAAAAAAAAAACTGCTTCTGCTGTGCTGTGAGAATAAGTAACTGTGAAATAAAACAGTAGAGTGTTTGATAAAATTTTTTGTAAAAGTACTTTTGGAAAAAGAAGCAGTACGATAGTATTTGGTAAATTTTTATGTAAAACAGATGTGACTGTGTGAAATGACAAAAAAATGTATAATACCAGATATGCCATTAATTTGATTTTCTTAACAAATAAAGGTGAATTACTAAATATACTTTTAAAAATATTTATAAACTTTATCTTAAATATTTATAATTAAGATATTTAAAAAAAAAAAATTTTAATGCCTAAAAATTAATAAATCTCTCTCTCTCTCTCTCTCATCTTCTCCATTCTTGTGTTTTCCCTCCTTTATCCCTTTCACGCAGCAACAGCAGCCAAGGCGCATCAATCGCGAACAACCCTCCATTTCCGAGGCGCTGCTCCATTTGCTCGTCCGTCATCACCTTCACAAACAACCCTCTATTTCCATTTCCAATCCCATGGGTTTTGCAAATTATGGTGGATTATTTGCTGCTGCCATTCCCCCATCATCCTTCCCAATCAATTTGCTGAGTTGCTTTTTCTTCAACTCGCTATTCCTCTTCTGATTTAAAGTGTTTTGCCAAAATAAGCTATTTTACCAAAATAAGTTGTTTTGTTGAAGCTACTATTTCCAACTTCTGGTTTTCAGCTTTTTTTCATCCATAATTTTGAAAATAAAATAAAACTGATTTAAAGTGTTTACCAAACACTTAAAATGCTCCAACTTTTTTTCATACCCATTTTTTTTAAAAGTTAAGCTAAGCCACAGTTACGTCGAATAAAGGAGGAGGGGAGGGCGTCAGGTAGTCGACAGCCGGCACTCCACAGTTACGTTGAATCCTTATAAGCTAAGCCAAAGTTGAGGAGTTCCTCATAAAAAAAAATTAAAAAAAAAAACCTTCATGATTGATTCACAGTTCGTGTTTATTATAAAAATCGTTCAAAATTATAAGTCACTCAATAAAAATCATCTTTGTAGAAAATTAATTAATAATAAGGTTGTTTAGTCAATTAATTGTAATAAATATATATAGATGATTTGGGATGCTTGTATTGAATCTAACAATCTGTTTTTAGACAGTTCAATGATTAAATGATATCATATTTTATTAATTTTACAAAAAGAATTTTTACCAAGTGATTTATAACATTAACAATTTTGATCACAATCATAAAATTCTGTAAATCGGTCACATAGTATTTTGATAATGAACTTCTCCTCGTCCTGTGAGGATCCAAGTTAATTCCAAAGACAAATGCCTAATTATATGGAAGGCGAAGGTGCACATACCGGTTCCTGTGGCTTGGGATGCTTCAGCTGGCTTCAACTTTTCTGCCAAAATATGCCAGGCAACTTTGGCTGTGCTGGTGCCCCTAATAAAAGAGAAAGTATCCTCCCCACAAGAAATCCGGATGAAGTGCAAAGCCTCGGCATTACTCTTCCTCCAAGCTGTATATTCAACTTCACCATCTTCTCGTTTAGGAGGCTCAGTGGTGGCTTCCACAATGTCCCAAAGATCTTTTGCCAATAGGTAGGTTTTAACTCGCAAACTCCAAACTTCATAGTTATTTTGGTTTAGAAGTTTATGAACAATTAAACTTGGGACAGCTGTGTCTGTCATCTTCAATCTGTAAATTTATCAAATATGAATTTATGTCGATCAACCATATGTTTAAACAAACTAGTAAGAAAATCTAATACTCACAGTTGTGATTAACAGATTATAAAACAAGCAAGTTGGGACATGATGTAAGATTGCAAGATGTGTGACTGTGTCCACTTTGTCTCGTTGACAAACCAATTTATGACTCTTCAATTATTATAAATTGATTTTCTGATTAATCCAATCATATAAATTATAGGAAGAAAATTTTAAATTTGAGTGCAAAAGAGAAATACACAAAAGGTGCATTTATTTGGCCTAGTTAAGTTTTACTGGACTAGATTACATGTCCGTGTTTGGTGTGAGCCGGACTGATTTTAATGGGACTAAGTCGGACTAGTGTCGGCTAACTCCTTCGCTAGGTGGTCTTAGCGAGACCTTCCCAAGGAGAGGATTGCTAATCCCATCTCCAACACCTGATTCGCTTCACCTTGGACTCGTCCAGTCTGCTTCGCACCGCTCGTAGCCAATCGTCTCCGTCGAAAGGCAAAATTCCAAAAGACGGGATCTTTGTAAAATGGATTTGCAGAGATTGATTGACGTCGATATGTAGAGATTGATTGAAATGGATTTGCAGAGATGGCCAAGTCGATTTGTAGGTGTTGGACTCTGAATTTTTTGAAATGGAGGATTCTGGATTTTTTGATTGGATTCTGGGTTTTATTTTCTAGTTATGGATACAGAGCGAGTTGGACGGGAGAAAAAGGAGAGGGAAGAAAGATGAGGGAGTTGGACAGGAAAAGGAAAACAGAGGGAAGAGAGAGAGGGAGTTGGACGGGGAAGAGAGAGAGGGAGGACTCTCTGTTCCGCCTAATTAACGCTTTCCTTCTCCGCTGCTTTTGCTTTGTTGTTTTTCTTTTCCCCTCTTTTGCTCTCTGTTAGCTAGCACCTTTTGCTAAAAAGAAAAAGGATAAGGAAAAGGAAAAGGAAAAGAGAAAGAAAAAACAAGAAGGAAGGAGTTATCCTGCTCCTTAGTCCGATATTACTCCAAACGCTTGATTAAGTCAGTTTATTTTAGTTTAGTCTAAATCAGCCCAACCTAATTCCTAAAGTTAGTCCACTTCGAGATAGTCCAATACTTCTTAAGCTAAAAAAAACGCAACTCACCACCAGAAAAAGAAAGATCAATGGAATCTGATTTATCAAGTTGAACATCAGATTCGATGCACTTTCCTAGTACTTCGGAAGCGTCAAAGAGCACTTTGCATCCACCATATACTCCAAGATTATTCATTAAAAGACCCTTAGACGGGATCAACTGCAAATGCATCCCAACCCTGTTCATCTTCTTGGACTGCTCTGTTCATCCCACCAAGGACCTTATATGCCTCGGAGTGTACTGAATCCACCCTCATTGAGTAAATTTTGACTCCACCTTCAAGAGTGCAGCTTGCCTGCACAGATAGAGAAGTGATACAGATTTAAGCAAACATGGCGCATCCAATCGAATATGTGAACGTTCGGCCACTCACGTCAAAAGTGGTTTTACCAAAATCTTGGTCTTGATAGATTTCAAATTCCAAAACTAATCCGAAACATCGTAGTATCAACAGGCGAAATTTACCTTTTGAAAATTCGTCTCTGCATCGTTTTCCTCTCAAACCTTAATAATATCCGTTAAATGGTCTATCAAATTCAGCTCCCATGTATTTTTCTGATTAATTTTCTGCGCACCCAACAGCTCAAAATCGAACATTTAAGAAAAATTTCACAACAAACATCAAAATCTAATACATTAAAAATGGCTCACTCATTTGACAAATAAAATACTAAAAAAATTGAAACTTATGTTAAAAAAAACTAATTTCAAAACTTTCAATCACTTGAAAAATCTAAACTGACATTTTCACTGTCGAGTTTGATGCAATTCTGGAACAGCTCGAGGCTCTGCGCGTTTCCGAGGCAGGGATCGCGGTCTCCCTGCTGTGGCAGCAGATTGAGCGCAACGGACTTCCTTCGAATCACGGCGGCGCGTGCTGGGCGAGCCTGCGCACGCTCGCGGTGGTCATCGTTGAAGCCGAGGAAGAAGGGGCTGATTGGAGACGGGAGACGAGCGGCCATTGGGAGCTTCTGCTTCGGGGTTCCCGGATTAGGGATCAGAGTGTCTGCCATTGCAATCTGGAAAATCGAATTGGGAAATTAGGGTTTGGATTTGGGAAAGTTGTGAGAGTGGGGGAGCGTTTGAGATGGATACTGATGGGACGAACAGGTTTCCCTCCATTTGATGTGTTTTAAATTTTTGTGGAGGTCTTGAGAGGTATAATACACTGCTTCTCGTGCTTTAATAAAAACATCCATTTTCTTTTGTTGACCAATCTATGACCGTCAATTTTACATTTGTCTGTTGGGAGCTGCCAGGCTATCATTTCAAAAAAGTCATCATTCATTCTAACTAGCATCAGAATGCATAGATATAATTACTTTTCGCTACTGCGGTAAAATGTCACATGCAAAACAAGAAGGGATGCACCACGAAGACTAAATGTTCAAACACGTACATTAATGTCTTTTCATTACAACCAGGTGGATTTGGTTTTATTATACAGGATCCAAACAACTATCCATTACAAACTTCAAAACAAATTTGTAGCAATCCAAAACTAATAAGCATCATTCATAATTACATTAACACGAGGCCGAGTATTTAGGGTCTTCACGAGGCCAATTTTTTATTTTCCTGTCAAACACGCCTGCTCCATAAGTAGAAATGACTAACTCAAGAAGGAGGGGAAATTGCATCCATATGAAAGATGCAACTGGAACACTTGCAAGCAAAGTAACTAGAATTGCAATAGATGATTTTCCATGAAGCATAATGGAAAGGGCTGAAGAAAAAGCTATCATCATTGCTGCTATAGATAAAAAAAGGGTGATAAGGCCTAATATCATTTTTATTGGCAATGATTTGAGAAAATCATCTTCAGCATAACGCGATGTGAGGATTCCCAAAAATATCATTACTGAAGTTGTGGAAGAAAAGAGCGATATAACATCTGAAACTATAAAAGTTATGAATGCCTCCTTACTTAAGAATATAGGAAAACCTGTATCTTGTTTATTTCCACCAGGAACTGTAAATGCTGCAGCAAACATAATAGTCACAATGAGAGCCCCTACGACTGTGCAAGATGTTGCTGTATCTTTCATTGCCTTTTCACCCTCTTTCACCAAGTCCTTGTGACCCTTGGTAAATAATTCACGTGGTGTCATCTCATCCGTTTTATTTATGACTTCATAATCTACAGGCTGTGCAAAACGTTCCACCTCCTGCATGTCATTCAACAAAAACTTAGAAGAGATGTGACTATATACATCCGAAGAGTAATTCTGATCTCCTGGTACAAGTCCTTATGACTAAGTCTCAAGGTATTTTCAGTTCAAGTTATGGAGGAATGGACCACAAATATATAAAATAACTTCTGATTTCCTTATAAATTTCAATTATATACAAGAGATAAGATGGTGAATAGGAGAAAGGAGGGGGTTCCATCATCAATTTTCACGAATATGATTAATTAGTCTTTTATATAATAACATAGATTTTATAAGTATAATATATAATTAAATCTATAGATAAGTAGTCACCTTGAACCATTGCAGTTCCCTTTGCATTTGCAAAGCTGCACCACGAATAAGATTAACTTGTGCGGCGAAGGAAATAGTTCCTACCACATGCAACATGTTATTGCTCAACTTATCTTTCCAACCTACGAACCATCCCCACCTGCGCTCTTCTAGTCCATATAATAGACTAAAAACTTTATGTTGACGACATTCAGCTGCAAATTGAAAGATGTTCCGGCCTTTTTCATTGGTGATGCCTGAGACTTTATAATTTGCTCTGTATAAATATGTAATATACTCCACATGCCCTTTTTTTATTGCTAAGAACAATGCTGTTTCCAAGCCTTGCAATTCTTTGACATCTTTATTTTTAATCACTTCACACATGCGAGGTAGAAATTCAAGGATCCGAACATGGGCCAATTTCATTTGATATATACGATTGAATCCTATGTTGACATTCAAAACAAATCAAACAATATACCCTTAATTCTGTATATAGAATTAGAAATAATTGAAAATAAAAAAATAAAAAGAAAGTAATTAGAAATTATTAAGACAATAAATAGGAAAAGAAAAGAAAATTGATTTTTACACACCCTTTTAAGTTTTTCACACACCCTTATTTATATATGGACATTAAATTGAATAAAACAAACAAAATTAATGACTAAAATTAAACAAAGGTGTGTAAGAGACTTTAATAAAAAACTAAAAGAATGTGTGAATGAATTTCCATAGAAATCAATTCATAATGTAGCGTACCCAAAAGTTTCCCCAAGGTCTTGACAACTAGTCCACGAAATAAACTAGTACCTGCATTGAAATTCCAAATTGTCGGTAAGGTCTTCAATTACCAATTAGTTATATCCCCTTTTTATAAAAAGAAAAAGGGTTATATCCCCGTTTAAACCATATAATACGGTACAAAAATTTGATCTATTTAGAATCACTTAATATTGTACAAAAATGCGGTGAGTTTTTTCAAAATCAAAATCAATAATGCATACATAGCCTCCTTGTGCCTACACATTTTTACAGTTGTTGGAGGTGAGTTTCTTTGAAACCAAAATCAGCAACTCTAACCAACATATAAAAGACCTAACAGGTGGTGGATTACCCTAGTGGTTAGATATTTTTCTTCAATCCACTCAGTCCAGGTTTAAACTTTCCTTTTCCCCTTATAGATAAGTGTAGAATATCGATTTTAATAAAAAGGCAAAAAGGTTCCAAATTCCATAAATATTTCAAATAATTCCAAAACAAACACAATAATCAAACTTCAGCAGTTGGACTACGGGGCCTAAGAGGTTTTATTCAAATTAGATTAAATTATTATATGACTTATAAATAAGAGTCTACTTATAGTACATAGTTGTATTGGAAAACATAAAATGCAACATAAAATGATATATTAATTAATAGGTTGCAATGGATAAAAATATAAGACACAGAAGATAAGCCCCACCATCATTTGAAACCAAGATAGAAAAGAGGTAAATATGAAGAAGATGACCTCCTACATATCCATTGTCGAGGTAGATGCCATAGTAGTAGGATTGTAGGAGTGAAAAAGAGAAAGAGAGGAAGCATCCAAATGTCTCTATAAATCAAGTTAAATAAAAATAAGGGAGATTTTGGATGCGGTCCCTAGTTATGAATAGTCTTTGACTGAAACCTTGTTGGTTTTCAATTTTTGATCCAAGTCCCTGAAATTAATTGATAATTTATTTCTATGTACGTTACTATATTTTTTAAATTAAAAATTAAAATTTATAGTTGTTAATAGTAATGAGATTTTAAATAAAAAACCATAATTTGTGGGATTAAAAATATTAAAATATAAATATACTATTGTGTGTGTGTGTAAACATGGGTACATTCATAAAAAATAACCAAAAAATTATTGTATCAAAACATGGATACATTCTTCAAAATGTGTACATTTAGCAAAAATAAAAATGGGTACAAATAAATAAAAAAATATGGGTACAATACAAATAAAACTTTAAAAAATATGGGCACAAAAAGAAATTAATATATGGGTACAAATTAAAACTGAAAGGAAAATTGGTACAAATTAAAAAAGGGTTGCAAATTAAAAATGGGTACAAACTAAAAATAAAAATATATGATAAAAAATTTAGCCATAAATATAAATATACTAATTGTAATATTTTTAATATTAAATGAATATATTTAGAAATAAAAAATATTTTATTATTGAAATAATTAATGATATTATTAATACAAAGGACCTTGATCAAAAATTGAAAAGTAATAAGGTTTTAATCAATAGAGTAGTAAAAATAAGGATGAAAACCTAATTACTCCTAAAAATAATATATACAGAACCAATAGGGAGATTGACCTTGCCAATTTCACTTCAAGAATAAGGGCTTCTCCTAAAATGTGGTCAATGGGTTTATCTTGAAATATAAGGGCTTCTCCTAAAATATGCTTGCTAACTGATTTATATATAGTTGTGGTACCTTAATTTATGAAGCAACTAAACATTAACAAAAACAATGGCACCGTCTGTCATGTAACATGAGTACCTGAGCAAATGAGATGCCTTTGCCTTTTATTACTCTGGTCGCCATTTTCCGGTTGTTGAACGTTTATACAAACATCACCATCAGTGGTAGGAATAGGCTCCTTTTTGTTATCAATGGTAGGCATTGGTTTTATTTTTATGCCTATCAAGATAAGAATACAAGCCCACTTGTATATTAAATACGAGATATTAACCAGTTCCTTGAACCAATAATTTTCTATTGCTCCGTCTAATAAGAGTAAAAGAAAATAGAAAGCTTAATTAGGACAATATTTAAAATGAAGAGAAAATGGAAGGCATTACTAACCGTCATAAATCCACTGTTCCCAGAAATTGAGCGAACTTCCACTTAAGAATGCAGAAGGCATACCAGCTAGTTCATTTAAAGGTGTTCTCTCATAAAAGTCTTTAGCAATGACTAACTCCGGACGGCGCTGAATTAAATCCCACGCAATATCTACATATTGTGGAGTTTTTAGAAATAACCTATGTAGATCTAGTTATAAAATTAGCTTAGTCTCAACATTATTAATATACAGCGGTTTTATAGCATTTACACAAGGAAAAAAAAAATTAAGGTGGCACTAATAATAATTATCATTTGAATGTTGATCTTACCAAATCTTTTTAACATAAGACCACGGGTAATAAGCATAGCGCATTCGGAATCGTTCAAGGTTTCGGGCGGAGTGACGGAATAAAGGTATTGAGCCATTTTTTCTCCTCCTTCATGACCAGGAAGACTATGAGTCTGCATAAGTGGGGTAATTTTGCCCGCCAAAAGTGGGATGGTTAGCTCGGACGGAAGGACAATACTAAGTAACTTCTTGTTCTTTTCAACCATGCATTTTGCTAGTTCGACGCTTTCTGGAATATGTTTTATAACACGATGAAGAGCGGTAAGACCCATATAGTCTTGTATTTCCAAGTCTTTTGGTCTCATTAAGCGCACCAATTCTTTTGCAATGTCCACCTTCTTAAAAAAGACTGCCCGGTGAAGAATTGTCCCATCTTCCCTAGTACTTGCAGTTACCGCCTTGGGATGTTGGATAAGAAACTCCATTGCAGCATCCCAATCTTTCTTCTTCACTAAATTGAGCAAAGTTTGATTAACGTGGTTGTCTTCGTGTCCTGCCAAGCCAGCTAACGTTACATATATATCCTCATAAAACATATAGACTATATACTTGTTACGGATTTTTCTTTTTCTTCTTAATTTTATTATATGTATATAGAGTACTTTTGTTCTATTTTACTATTGATACGGTCTTTTTTCTTTGTAAATTGCAACTGTTAATAAGAACCCAAAGTCGATTGCATCATGCATTTTAGTTTTTTACTTGTAAAAAACGAAATAAACAACGATTTTAGAATGAAAATAACAAAGTAGATTTGAAAGGAGTTTAATTAATAAATATTGAACGGAAATCTTTGTGAGAATTGAGACATAATACCTTCACTGGACGATTCTTCTATGACATCATTCTTTGGCTCTGCCTCAACAATGTTTGGGTTGTTATTCGTGTGGTCGTCCAATATCTCTCCTGAAAAATTGAATCATTTATGTTTATATCCCATCATTCTCTATTAGGAAATATATTTCTCCCTTTTCCTATCTTACTTTTGCTGTAGTTTAAATTGAACTATTCTATTAAGGATAGATCTAATTCAACTGAAAAGAGCCAGGCCGAAGCCGAAACTGACACCACTCACACAATTAACGTCTCTCTTTTTATTGACAAAAAAGAAAAAGAAAAAAGACATCTCTTTTTTAATGAATATGAACAAAAAAAAATGTCAAATATTAGTGGCTTTTCCTTTTGGAAGGCCGAATAAATTGGGCTCACTACACTTTTGTATACAGTACGACAAAAAGGTACGTTGGGCACCTCAAAGGTGAGGAGTTCATCATAAATAAATAAAACCTTGTGATTGATTCACAGTTTGTGCTTACGATAAAAATTATTTAAATTATAAATCATTCAATAAAAATTATTTTTGTAGAAAATTAATTAATTCTAAAACTGTTTAGTCAATCAATTGTAGTAAATAGATATAGATGGTTTGTGACACTTGTATTGAATCTAACCATCTGTTTTTAAACAGCTCATATTTTATTAATATTACAAAAAGAATATTTACCAAGTGTTTTATAACATTAACAATTTTGATCACATGCATAAAATTATGTAAATCGGTCACAAAGTATTTTGATAATAAACTTCTCCTCGTCCTTTGAGGATCCAAGTTAATTCCAAAGACAAATGCCTAATTATATGGAAAAGGCGACGGTGCACATACCCGTTCCTGTGGCTTGGGATGCTTCAGCTGGCTTCAACTTTTCTGCCAAAATATCCCAGGCAACTTTGGCTGTGCTAGTGCCCCTAATAAAAGAGAAAGTATCCTCCCCACAAGAAATTTGGATGGAGTGCAAAGCCTCGGCATTACTCTTCCTCCAAGCTTTATATTCAACTTCACCATCTTCTCGTTTAGGAGGCTCAGTGGTGGCTTCCACAACCTCCCATAGATCTTTTGCCAACAGGTAGGTTTTAACTCGCAAACTCCAATCTTCATAGTTATTTTGGTTCAGAAGTTCATGAACAATTAAACTTGGGACAACTGTGTCAGTCATCTTCAATCTGTAAATTTATCAAATATGAATTTATGTCGATCGACCATATGTTTAAACAAACTAGTAAGAAAAAGCTAATACTCCCAGTTGCGATTAACAGATCATAAAACAAGCAAGTTGGAACATGATGTATGATTGCAAGATGTGTGTCCACTTTGTCTCGTTGACAAACCAATACGACTCTCCAATTATGAAAAATCGATTTTCTAATTAATCCAATCATATAAATTATAGGAAGAAAACTTTAAACTTGTGTGCGAAAGAAAAATACACAAGGGCATGTTTGTTTGACCTCGTTAAGCTTTACTGGACTGGCTTACTTGTCTGTGTTTGGTGCGAGCCAGACTGATTTTAATGGGACTAAGTCGGACTAGTGTCGACTAACTCCTTCGCTAGGTGGTCTTAGCGAGACCCTTCAGAGGAGAGGATTACTAATCCCCGTCTCCAACACCTGCTTCGCTTCACCTTGGACTTCGCACCGTCCTCGTAGCCAATCGTCTCCGTCGAAACCCAAATCCCCGCCGATGGTCTCCGTTGAAACCCAAATTTCCCAAAGACGGGATCTTTGTAAAATGGATTTGCAGAGATGGCCAAGTCGATTTGTAGGTGTTGAGAATCTGGTTTTTTTGAAATGGAGGATTCTAGATTTTTGGATTGGATTCTTGAGTTTTAATTTTTTGAGTTATGGATGGTGCACCGAAAGAGGGAGTTGGACGGGAGAAAAGTTAGAGGGAAGAAAGAGAGAGGGAGTTGGACAGGAAAAAGGAAAACAGAGGGAAGAGAGAGAGGGACTTGGACGGGAAAAAGAGAAGGGAAGAGAGAGGACTCCCTACTCCCCTTAATTAACGCTTCCTTCTCCGCTGCTTCTGTTTTGCTCTTTCTCACTTTGTTGTTTTTTCTTTTCCCCTGCTATGCTGTTTCTGTTAGCTAGCTCCTTTTGCTTTTGTTTGTTTCCTCTGCCTTTGTGGCTTTAATGAATTACCCTTTGAAGAATAAAAAAAATAAAGAGTTCTGGAAAAAAAAAGGAAAAGTAAAAAAGAAAAAGAGAAAGATAATTAATTTTTTTTTCGTGCATCTTAGTTCGATATTATCTCGAACGCTTTATTAAGTCAATCAAATTTAATCTAATTTAAAACAGTCCAATTTAATTTTTAAAATTAATTCAGTTCGAAATAATCTAGTACTTCAGAAAATACGAAAACGCAACTCACCACCAGTAAAGAATGGTCAATGGTATGTGATTGTATCAGGTTGATTATCCGATGCGATGCCGTTCCCTGGTAGTTCCGAAGAGTCAAAGAGCACTCTGCATCCACCAAATACTCCAAGATTATTCATTAAAAGACCCTTGGCCCCACCTTCATCAAATTGTGCAGACGTCTGATGATAGAGGGGATGAACTGCAAATGCAAATGAAAATACAGGCAAATTTGTATTATTAAACTTGGCCTCGCATCTCACCGTCAAACTTTTTTATATTAGAGCCTCAAAAGATGATTCCAGCTTTGATAAGGAAATATCTACATGTACGGATTTATGTCAGCATTTAGTATATGGGAGTTCGTCAACCTTCTTCCGCGTCTTTGATTGTATGTTCGATTGTTCTCTAATTCCAGCTTTCACAAAATTTACTCTGTCTGCAGGTTAGAAAATTGTTCTGAATCAAGTACAGTACTACTTTTAAAATCAACATACTTCTTTTTGGCTCGCAAGTGAATACCCCTTCAGCCAAAAACAAAAGTGCAAAGTTATAGCCGCTAGCAAACCCAACCTTGTTCGTCTTCTTGGCGGGCTCTATTTATCCGACCAAGGACTTTAGGCCATCTCCAATCAAGCGGGTCAAAGAATCATAGGCTAAAACATATCTTTTTTTTTTTTTACACAAAAATCATCTCCAATGGAGAGCTAGGCCAAAAAAAATTTGAGATTCATTCGACCATCTCCAATCCTTGGCCTAAAATCTAAAATTTTTAGCCCAGAAAATTTAGGTTTTAGCACAGAAACATTTTTTCTGCTCCAATCATTTTGGCCTAAAATTCTAACCCGGGATTATTAAAGAATGAACTTAGGCTACTTTTTTTTCTTAAATTAACTTTAAAAAAAAATATGTAGGCTATCGTAATTTAATTTTGTGAACATTTTAATCTAAAAATATTTAAATTCCGATAAATATTGAAAAATCACTAAATCGACACATGAAACTCACCAAACTTTCAACTTTCACAAATCAACTTTCACCAAACTTTCAATTTTCACCAAACTTTCAACTTTCACCAATCGTTCAATTTTCACCAAACTTTCAACTTTCACCAAACTTTCAACTTTCACCAATCTTTCAACTCTCATCAATCATCCTTTATATAAATATAGGTTGAATATCAGTTGATCACACAATCTTTCAACCTTCAATCATTCTCTATATTCACCAATCTTTCAACTTTCAAAGTGTTATGTTTCCTAAAAATCCTCAATATCTCATCAATGGGTAATAGAAGAAGGCGTACCAGGGCAATGCAGATGACACAATACCAAGCAAGCCGAATGTAGCTATCGTGGTTCTGTCACGAGGCATTCATTTATGCAGCGTGATAGAGAAAAGTGTCTTGACCGAATGATGAAAGATTATTTCATCGAGCGTTTGAGATTTCCTGCTCATGATTTTCGGATGAGGAGAGAGCTTTTTGATAGTATCTTGAACCCAGTTGTCAATCATGACCACTACTTTGTAAGGAAGATAGATGCTGTCGGCCGACAAAGTGTATCACATCATCAGAAGCTCACTTCTGCATTTCGGATGCTAGCTAATCGGTGCTATGTAAACTCAACTGATGAGTATTGCCAACTTGCAGAGAGTACTGTTATTGACAACCTGAAACACTTCTGTCAGGCAATTCAAGCCATATATGGAGCCACATACCTCCGCAAGCCAAATCGTGAAGACTTGAAGAGGCTTCAACGCAAGATAGACAAAAAAGGCTTTCCTGGCATGATAGGAAGTCTCGATTGTATGCATTGGGAGTGGAATAATTGTCTTATTGCTTAGGCTGGCCAGTTCAAGGGCCGTCATAACAAGCCAACCATCGTGCTCAAGGCTGTGGCGTTTTACGACACATGGATTTGGCATGCATTCTTCGACGCTCCTGGATCAAACAACGATATCAACGTTCTTTGGTCTTCACCTTTGTTCGATGATGTTGTCAATGGATGGGCACAAGAATTTCGGTACAAGGTAAATGGTAATAGGTATGAGCTAGGTTACTACTTAACTTATGGTATTTATCCTAGTTGGTGTGCCTTTGTCAAAAGTTTTTCTCATCCCGATAGTGCAAAGAAGAAATTATTTTCGCAGAGGCAAGAGTCTTACAGGACATATGTGGAAAGAGTGTTCGGGATCCTACAAGCTTGATGGGCCATTGTTAGAGGGCCTACACGACTTTGGCATACTGAAAACCTCCATTCAATCATGATGACGTGCATAATTTTGCACAACATGATTGTGGAAGATGAGTACATTGAAATTGAAGAAGATTTAGACAAATATGTGGATGATGACTAACCAACACATGCGATAGCTATTGCAAGAGATGTTGAATATCTCGCTGAAACCACATATGAGACCTTACATGATAGGGTCACATTGAGTGAGTATATGATACGTTTAAATAGAATTCAAGCTCTTCAAGGTCATGACACACTCCGCAAGGATTTGGTTGAGCATGTATGGCGCCGAGAAGGTGAACGTTGATGATGTTGGTTGAGCATTTATGTAATAGTTTTAAGTGTACTATGTTGGTATTTTCTAATAATAAATTTAAGTGTCTTCTTGTGCAGAGTATTTTGTGTAGTACGTTGGATAAATTATTGAATGGAGGCTGAATTATTGAAGGCATCTATTCTACATCAAAGTGTGGAATAATAAGTACAATAATTATTGAAGGTATCTAGATTAATAGAAACAATAATTAATACACATGACATTTAATAAAGTACATAAACTTAATACAAACGAAAATTAATAAACCACATAAACTTAATACAATCGATAATTCATACACTACATAAACTTAATAATGATATCCACCATCTTGACTTGGTGGTTAACTTGGTGGACTTGGGATATAGGGTTGAGATGATTCATCTTCTTGAAATATACTCCTTGTGGCATACTTTCGCAAAATTTCTTTTTACTTACCACGTAAGAACTTCTTCCTCTTTGGAGTGTATTTGTTGAGGTCCTCCATCATGAAATTAATTTCAAACATATCTTGCTCCCTATCCTCTTCTTCCTTCATTTGCAAACGCATTCGGGCCGTTTATTCTTGGCGAGCGTGATGGGTTTCGCTCAATTTTGTAACTCTGGTAGCAATGTGTCCACTCATCGGATCTTGAAACTTTCATCAGTGAATATTAGATCTTTGAATTATATTTTTGGTAAAACAAGTCCCTAAATTCATTTAAAATTTTTAATTTCATCCATACTATTATAGTCAAAGCTATTTTATCCAATTTCTCGTCAACTTAAGTCCTTCACACACTAGAGTGTAATACCGTTATTTTCTCGCTTATAAGCCCTTAACATTTTATTTTATATAGGTTACAGATCTAACATCTAATTTACCTTCCAAAGTTAACTCCATACACTATTTCTTTACAAAAATTACCAATCTACCATCCAATATGTATTACATGCAAGTAACGTGACTTAAATTAATGGAAAATTGAATATATTAGCTTCATATCTAATATTATGGATGCAATTGGCATATTTTTATAATTCAATGACTGATTTTTCTGAAAAAAAATAGTTTAGAGACCTAATTTTCACTCAAGTAATATTTTAGAGACTAAATTAACAGTTCACCCAAAGGTATAATACGTTGCTGCTCGTGCATATGATATAAACATCCATTTTCTTTTGTTGACCAATCTATGACCGTCAATTTTACATTTGTGTGCTGGGAGCTGCCAAGCTAGCATTTCAAAAAAGTCATCATTTATTCTAACCAGCACTAGAATGCATACACATAATTACTTTTCACTACTGCGGTAAAACGTCACATGCAAAAGAAAAAGGGATGCAACACGAAGACTAAATGTTCAAACATGTATATTATTGTCCTTTCATTACAACCAGGGTGGATTTGGTTTTATTACACAGGATCCAAACAACTTTTCATTACAAACTTCATAAAAAATTGTAGCAATCCAAAACTAAAAAGCATCATTTATAATAACATTAACATGAGGCCAAGTATTTAGGGTCTTCCTAAGGCCAGTATTTTATTTTCCTGTCAAACATGCCTGCTCCATAAGTAGTAATGACTAACTCAAGAAGGAGGGGAAATTACATCCATATGAAAGATGCAACTGGAACACTTGCAAGCACAGTAACTAGAATAGCAATAGATGATTTTCCATGAAGCATAATGGAAAGGGCTGAAGAAAAAGCTATCATCATGGTGGTGATAGATAAAAAGAGGGTGACAAGGCCTAATATCATTTTTGTTGGCAATGATTTCAGGAAATCATTTTTGGCATAACACGATGTGAGGATTCTCAAAAATATCATTACTGAAGTTGTGGAAGAAAAGAGAGATATAACATCTGAAACTATAAAAGTTATGAATACCCTCTTACTTAAGAATATAGGAAGACCTGCATCTTGTTTATTTCCACCAGAAACCGTAAAGGCTGCAGCAAACGACCCATTTACACATGCCCATCGGTGTGGGTTCTGGCCATTTCCACCATTTTTTTAGGAGAAATTCAACCATCCATCACCTGCAACCTCTTCCACCATCTCCCATCTTCCATCTCCACCCAAATTTGAGGGTTTTTTGGTCCAAAATAGTGTAAAACCCTGCGGGTGACCCAAGGAGTTTTGACGGCGATTCCCCCATTCCGGCTAGTCTCACCAC